CCCACTCTAAAGGCATTGGATCACACAGGACATCTGCGCAAGCGCAGAGAAACCCGAGTAAAGTTGTTCAAAGACTTCCCTTTCACCTCTGCAAAGGTTCGTTGAATTCGCTGACCAAATCCAGCAAACGGGCCAGCAACCTAACATCGGTCATACTGCAAAGTTTGTAAAGGTAAAGGTACGAGCTGTTAAAAAAATCAGCATTTGACTGTCTGGTGGACACGGAGCGCGAAAGAGTAGAGAACCAGAGGCTTAAAGCGACGCAAAAAAGACCTCGATTTTTTAACGAGCGTGGCAACACCTTTAACGCAAGAGAGAAAGAATCTGGAGAAACTCCGACTTACTCCTCCAACCAGGAGTCCCAGTCAATCAGGCATCTGAAGTACCCAGTAACTAACGCAGTTCATCCCTTAGTGAAGTACAAGCGATTTGGACAAAGAACTTTGAAGAACGTCTGCAAGTAATAAGAACAGCTAAGCTGTGACACGATTGGTTCAAATACGGTCACATAGTGGTGAGATGATTAACAACGAAAGCATGCGAGATCCAAGGCTGTGGAAAAAAGTATTACACCTTGCTCCATCCTCTATTTAATCAACGAAGGCAATCGCTACCAGATAGAGCAGGGAACATATGGAGAGAGTAGTGCAGCGCTGCAAACCAACAGTACGTTACTAAACGCGAAAGGGAGTAGTAACGCAAGAATTAAAGAATTGGTTGGATGCACGCGGGAGGTTTGGACAGCACGAGTGAAACGTAAGAGTTGCTCTAGGGGAGCCGAAATCAAAGTTTTACTCAGAGAATTGCAAATTTTCTGGTGAGATGCTTTAACACGAACTTAGCAAAACTAAACGCTTTACAGCAGAACAGAGCAGAGTCAAGGCTTCTCTATTTGTTAACTAATAAAGAATATGTTTAATTCCCCAGGCGCTACTTCCAACTTTCAAAATCAAGTGTACTTCCAAAGCGAAAAACAGTGTCGTCAGCATGCTCTATACTTTCATCAAGCACGCTATAATAAGCCAATCAGATCCCCTGTTAGAAGGGTTCAAATAATTTGATTAATTGAACAAGACTACGGTTGCTGTCAAACCACCAAGTTTACTATCTGCAATAGTTCACAGTCTGAAATAGTTCGGCAGGTCGAATTTAACGATTTTGCCTAAAGTTTTTTTAGTCTTAATACAGAATCTGAAAGTGAAATGTTAAGTGAAATCCGGCCGAATTGTGGCTCATTAAAATACGCAAGTTTTTTCACATGACAATTAGAAAACAAACTGCTCAAGGCGTGTGTTTCATGGATGAACAATGAACGACAACCGAATTCACAAGTCATGGAGATTTCTCGGAATGACAGCGCCGCAAAACTTGGCTGGTGTGACTGACGTGGCCTTCCACTCAATGCATCGTAAAGGAAATCAGTGCAAGCTCTTAGTTGTTCACTCGAAGACGATCGATGTAGTTTCCTGCTTCACTGTGCTAAGTGGAGATCGTCACCATGACGACACCTAGGCAACACATGACAGGTGTGTAGGGTCAACCCTTAACGGTAGAACGGTAGAATGGTGGAATGGTGGAATAGTGGAATGGTAGAATGGTAGAATGGTAAATGGTGGAATGGTAGAATGGTAGAATGGTGAATGGTAGAATGGTAAATGGCGGAATGGTGGAATGGTGGAGTGGTAGAATGGTAGAATGGTAGAATGGTAAATGGAGGAATGGTGGAATGGTGGAGTGGTAGAATGGTAGAATGGTGGAATGGTTGAATGGTGGAATGGTAGAATGGAGCAATGGTAGAATGGAGGAATGAGAGAATGGTGGAATGGTGGAATGGTAGAATGGTAGAATAGTAGAATGGTGGAATGGTAGAATGGTGGAATGGTAGAATGGTGGAATGGTAGAATGGTGGAATGGTAGAATGGTGGAATGGTAGAATGGTGAAACGGAAGAATGGTGGAATGGCAGAATGGCAGAATGGCAGAATGGTGGAATGGTAGAATGGTGGAATGGTAGAATGGTAGAATGGTAGAATGGTAGAATGGTAGAATGGTAGAATGGTAGAATGGTAGAATGGTAGAATGGTGGAATGGTAGAATAGTGTAATGGTAGAATAGTGGAATGGTGGAATGGCAATGGTAATGGTAATGGTGGAATGGCAATGGTAATGGTGGAATGGCAATGGTAATGGTGGAATGGCAATGGTAATGGTGGAATGGCAATGGTAATGGTGGAATGGCAATGGTAATGGTGGAATGGCAATGGTAATGGTGGAATGGCAATGGTAATGGTGGAATGGCAATGGTAATGGTGGAATGGCAATGGTAATGGTGGAATGGTGGAATGGCGGAATGGCGGAATGGCGGAGTGGCGGAAAATGACCTTGAATCCTAAAACACGGAACGGATGTCAGGGCATGTTGCGCGAACTGCTCGTACAAAGACACTCAAGCGCTTGACACATTCATCCCCACGACGATAACGCGCGTGACTAAAATTAATTGTTGATTTTATTTCTTTTACTGAGTAGTCTGAATAAAAATGAACCATTACGCATGGAAGATGGCTGCGTTTCGCGTTGTAAACCTGTTTAATTGCCTTTTGTTATGCTAAATTTGCACATTTAAATTTCCCTCGATTAAGTTCTCTCCTTCTGAGAGCCCCTTCTTTTAGCTGAAGATTTAGATGAGCGCCCGGATGCCTTCTTTTACCACTCAGTAAAAGAAATGAATAAATAAAAATTAGTTTTAGTTGCGCGCGTTATCATCATGGGAATGAATATGCCAAACGCTTGAATGTCTTCGTACGAACAGTTCGCGCAACATGACATCTGTTCCGTGTTTTAGGATTTGGGGTTATTTTCCTCCGTTCCGTGTTTTAAGATTTGGGGTCATTCTCCGCCATTCCACCGTTCCGGCTTTTAGGGTGGCCCTATCGCAGTCGCTCTGACACCGTCATGGCTTGTGTGAATTTTAACACTCAGGTCATTTTGGTTACATTGTCATTATTTCAGTTTTGTTTTTTTTTCAAGACGAAACTACATGGACCATTCGAGTTTTAGCTTGTTTGATTTTCATTACCGTGCGTAAGCTTTCAATTCAACTGAGCGTTAAAAACCTTCATGGACATGGTACAAATTTGCGACTTAAGCACGAAATGTGCCGAACTCAAAGATCTTTTATTCTGACTACATTATTAACCTTGACTACAATTATTTTCTGCAGAGACCTTTTGTTCTAAATATTTCTACCGCATTTACATACCTGCCATTGTCCTGTCCTATTGTCTGCTGAACCCCTATTGGACTGCATCATCTAATGATCCAGCTTTCAATAAAAAAGCGTTGTAGGGTTTTCGAATCCTCTGTATAATGGTAAAACTGTTCATTTTTGTTCATTAAACACTGTTGCTTGCGTTGTGGGACAAGAAAATTAATTCTCTTGGAAGAGTCATTCTTATCCCTTATTTATTTATCAAAGAAATAACACTACAATGATACTATTGCAATAGCTCATCACATCCTCCTTAGCCATCGATTTAATGGTTAGGCCACCTTGTTTAGTAGCCATAAGCCTAGCAATAATGCCTTGTTTGCATAGAGTCGTACGCTGTGTCTAAATGTACGATGTTCTCCGAAGTAACTTGAAGTAAAGTTTCTTGTGCAATTTACGGAATTGCTTAAGTTCTAAAATGATTTCGATCTTTCCGATCAAATCATCCTCGATTGCTTCCTCATAGTTCAAATAAACTGATCAAAACTAGCTCATTGAGACTGTCGTCACCGTCGCTTTTACGACTTTGAAGTTCTTTTCTTTCCGTTGTTTGTGAGACCATCAAGGTTATATTTTGATGGTGGAGCGAAAGAAAGGTAACACCAGCGTACGATTTTACACGACAGATGCCATTTTGAAATTGATCCCGGCAAAAATTTGTCTTTGCCCCGCCTCCCAGACAGATGAACAGAAGGCGATAGCACGACTTTAGCGAAAGAACCAAGCTTAGAAGGGGAGGCAGGGGATAACGTGTAACAAATCTCAGAGTTTTAGATCCATTTCTAAACCTCACAGCTTGACTGGCGCCATATCATGAGGCAAAAACGTGTCTTTGAATCAGAACTACCTTAGGAATAGTGGCAATTAACGATTTCTGTCGGCAAGAATGTACGGGAAAATTAATGGCATTAGCCAATGCTATTAATGTTGGGGTACATACGATATGTTTGTCATGAATTCCGCTCAGACCTCAAACATTCCACTTTGTGTTTTAATGTTTTCTTCATTTTTTGTTTTGTACCTCAGAAGTGTGTGATGTAATTGTAATTGAATGGGGAGTATCTTTCTTTAAGTGAAGGGGGGGTTAAACATCAGGCAAGTTAAAGCCTCGAATCATTACAATGTGGAATGCAATGCTATTGTGGGGAGGGGTTAAACATATCATGCAAGTTAAAGCCTCGAATTATTGCAATGTTGAATGTAATAGTGTTTGGACTGTATTAATTACTCAGGCTTAAGCTTTGAGTTGTGTTGTTCTAACGAACATATGTATTCACATAACAACACCAACTTTACATGGGTAACTCATTACAACGTGTACGAAGTTTGCATGTTGGGGATATGAAAATGCAAGAACCGTTTTACTCCGGCCTGAAAATGGCAAGTTCCCAACTCTTTCTAACTTTGGCCCTTGGTCATTATCACCATTCCTTTTTACACTTACTGCCAATTGAACTCTACTACCAATGACATCTGCCATCTAGCTGCAATAAAATCCTTGACTCCCAAGTTTCTTTTCACCTCCACTCCCTTTACCTATAAAATGATTGGTTCCTAAAGTATTAATGTCCTTTTCAGCAACCTTTTTAGTGCTAAAATAAATTGAAGAGCAGTAAAAACTGAGTGGAGCTGCGCTTTAAGTTAAAGTTCATAGAAATCAGTTTTTTCGAAAGTTGAATCCCATGCGACCAATACAAGATTATACAAGCTCTGAGCAAGAAAATAGCAAAACTTAACCTCTGGAGGTGACGGCACCTCTGTTTATTATTTAAGTCTTTACAATTTTTTCAACAAACACTGCTCTAAAATGGAATGTTAAATAGGCTTCCCAGACTTTCCCTTCCTGGGCAGCAACATCGCGAGGATTAATAAATGCTCCCTATAAAGTAAGACATTTTGAAATAATCGTGAACATGATCTACTAGAAACATTGGTGGTTAGAGGAATTTTCCTTCAATGCATAACCCCCGTTGGGAGCACATTTCTCATAGGTACTACTATCCTTGAGCGCAACCATCCAATGATTCTTTTATTTTTTTAATCATTTACTTAATTCTCCAAGATCATGGCCTAACGCACTGAGTATACTTTTCAATTCAAAGAGTATTACTGCCCTTTAGTGACATACAAATTTGAAACTTGAGTAAAACCTTTCTCTCCTCTTCTCCTTCAAAACACTTGCCTGTATCCAGACATAAAAAAAATTGCTGACAAAACAAAAAAACAAAAAACATTTTTATAGATACAATTTTACATACATATTGTTTCTCACATGATGTCAAGGCTATGTTTATGAAAACCAGTGAACTACCGGCTACAATAGTCTACCAAGCAAATCCACTGGGACTTGACCTTTCATTTCACACATTGCATTCTATTAGAGGCAACTCCCTCAGTTACACAACTTTGATTCATCGTGTAAATATACACAACTATTCAGACAGTCACACTGAATCTTTGGCAAAGGAGCACTGTCCCAAATTCCTGGACCTGACAACAGCCTACGCAACGAGCAAGGAATTCCAGGTAACTGACGAAATTTTAATAAAGAGTGACGTGCCATGCGCAAAACCCTTGTTCCATCCATCTTCATGGAGAGATCCGTAAAAAATTGCAACATATCATCTGCCGACAAATTCTTGTCAACAACAGGGCCTCCATATTCCTGAAGCATGGCGACACACAAGAAAATATGGAAATACTTGGTTTGATAATGAGACCAACAAGCTTCCCACATTTTCAAAACTTCTTCATTAAAGAATTCTCGTTTAAAGGAGAGAAGAAGCCAGCGGTGACAAAATAACATGTCCATGGCATCGTCTTTTAGTATACAGTGCGCATAAAATCGAGGAACTAGGAGACGTAACAGCTCCCGCAAGTAACACTAAAGGGATGAGAGAGAACAATTACCATTAATAATCACTGAGGATGGGGTCTAAGTCTAGTTTTTTTCACTTAAGATCAGCCAATAAAAATCCATAACTAATTTTGCAAACCTCCTCTTCCTGAAATATCTCAAAGCAAGTTGAGGGCGTCCACTGCAACTGAAAGTCAAATTTGGGCTAGATCTATTAAGAAATCCCTCTGGTAATACCATCCTCATTCTAATTGACGGAACCTTAAGGAGAAACGTTTATTGTCGTCTCGTCACAAGTCCGCGTGAGGATTTTAAACCTGACCTTCGGATTTTCGTGCTCTACCATTGAGCTGGGCAACTAAGTTCATATGTCACATGCGTCATGCGATGTAAAAAAAACTTCACGCGTAACTCTCGCAGTGCTTCTCTCCACCCTGGAATATAGATGGGTGCCAACGAATTTTCAGGGAAGCCCGATGAAGTGCCGGGGGTAAGCTTGCGATGGACTGGGATCCCATCCAGAGGGGAGTAGCAATACTCCTCGTTGCTTCAAGCTACACGAATAAGCTCCAGCTGGGGGGCCAATGAGCCCAAATACAGACTTTACCTTTACCTTACTAGTTAAGACGTTTCAAAAGAGATTGAAGTAGGTTAGAATGCCCCCTTCCCCAATTCAATGTTAAAAAAATTACAGGAAACAAAGTTCAACATCATAAAGAGGGAGAAGGGGTTAAAATAAGAATACTGGGGCTAAAAGTTGGTATACTTTTCAAAAATATTACCATCTCAGAGATAATGTAAACAATTTGCTCTGATATTTTTAGCTCAGAGATGGTGGGCATCGACTAATGTTTCAAAGGTGAGTACAGATCATTACAACCCATTACTTAAAGTCACCACTAGTCTCTTGATGGATATTTATCGTTCCTTCTGGGAACACTTAAACAATCCAGAGAGGTGTCTTTCATAAAGTCACAACATTTTATGAAACTGGAATATACTGAAGTCTTCTGCATAAATTACATGATCGAATTGACAATATAAACATGCTTAAACAGCACCTAGTTGCAAATTTTCAGTTACATTCAGCGAAAACTCTGGATGTTTTCCTTATGGAAAGTTCAAAAAATTTTTTATGAACTTGCTTTTTTACGACTGTGCATTAATTTAACAAAAATGATGACATTGCAAGAGGGATTCCTCAAGCTATCCTGACCAAATTTGACTTTCAGTAGCTCTTGACTAGAAACTCTCAACATTCTACAAAATATTTGAACTGAAAGAATAAAGGAATGAAAAAAAGTGAGATTATTATTTCCTAAACTGAGATTAATAAACAAGAAATTTGTCTGCAAATCTAGCATGATTTTGCTTGCTTACTTTACAAATAATGTGGATTAGTCACACACAACACATTTGGAGTTCATATTCATTAAAAGGAATACTTAAAACTTACACTTGCAGGCATGGTAACATTGTTAAAAAAATGAAGCACTACAGACATTATTCTGATGTTAAACATTGTCTAAATTTTGCTGCTGGCTTTAGTTGTCCATGGAGGGTTTCCTTAAAAAATGGTTTAGAATTATTTTTGTCTAGCTAGCATGCAAGGGTGGATGGATGAAATATTCTGTAACCCTGATGGCAGCAATTTATCAGTGGATATTCAAATTCATATTTTGGGCAATATTTTGCTCTTTAAGGAAAGACCTGGTTATCAAGTGTGCAAACACCCTTGCATATTGTAATCTATCAAAGAGAAGCCCAGTTCATCTAGTTTGGAATTCATGCTTCAAAACCTGTTTGACAACGGCAGACAAGGAGAAAACACTCACTCCACCATATGTATAATCAGCCAATTTGATGCACTGCAAAACAAAGGAAATCTTCCACAGGGTAGAAAAAATTAGGGGGATTTCCTAAAATGGGATTCAAGGATTCAAAAAGTTGAGAAAATACTAAGTTTTTTTCAGCCTTAAAAATAGGGAAAACAAGTTTTCTCTAATAAAAACATTGTTTGTACTGTAAGAACGTTTTTTAACAGCTGTAGAAGATCAAAGTGCTCTGTGAGCAAACTCGTGAATTGACACATAATTTTTTAGATTATGTTTAATGTTATCTGGTTTAGGGAATTTTGTGGTTGATTGTCATATCTAGAGTACGAGCAGTAGTTCAGTGTTCGCTAATGTAGCAAAGAAACAAAGTAACGTTGGGATAAGAAGGCATTACAATTGAAATGATCATGCTATTACATTTGACAAGGTAGATGATGTCATGTGTTTTAAACGTCTATCATTTTTGTTTCTGGCTCAAAAGAAAAGGTTGGAAGTAAATGTGGGTGAAAAGTGAAATTTACTGTCTTTCGTTGTAAATATTAGAAAATCAAGGCAATACTGTCTTAATGAAAACATTAACGATTCCCTCTTTATCAAATGAGACAAACGGGAACGAGTTTTGAGTGATATAAAACTAAGCCAAGCCTGCCACCGTCATTTTGGATCTCCGCCTGGGTAGATTTAAGTCACGTGCTAGGCAACGTATTATCAATAACAAGATAGAATTTCATTTCAGGCCTGTTTATCAATTTTGTGGTGTGTAACTTTCGCATTTTAGTACGTTGTAGGTATGTTGAATCTTTAAATTGTCTTGAAACTTAAAAGAAAATTGTTCTTTAAAAATTCACTGAAAATCGGTAGCTAAAATTGTTTGTTTAGGTGTTATTTGATTTTCGTGTTAACTTGTTATTTCGTCAGTCGCCGGCATCTTCTGTTGCTTCACACAGGAAAAACACACGCGACGAAACGTAATGGTCAATTTTGTCCTCAATCTCACGCTATAACAGAAAAAGCTTTTATACATCTGTAAACTCCGAGCGCTTCGCAGTAAGTGATATTTTCAATGAATCTTCGGATTGTTTTCAAGTTCAAGGATTGTAAATTACAATTTTATAAAAAACGAAGATTGTTCTGTTATTTCAGTGTGAATCCTTGCATGCCTGCCAGTCGCTGGCGCCGCTTGTTGAAACTAAAACGAAAAAAAAAAACTCTTTTAAGATTATCATTGGCTTCTTTTTCATCCCACCACTATTCTTAGCAACAAAGGTCGCCATTTCGTCTGTTTATTGCTCGCCAAAAACTATCAAATGCACTCAAAAGCCTAAAATCTAAAAAAAGTTTACAGGAATCGACCAATCGAGCGAGCGAGCGAGCGAGCGAGCGAATGCCATTCCCCACATCGTATCTATAACTCGCTCTTGCGCATGCGCGCAATTCACGAGTTAAAAATGACAAAATTTGGGAAACATTTCAATTTAATACACATTCATCAAAATGCCTATGAAACTATGATGGCTTCAGCTTAGTACTCCAAAATGAGGATTGTCATCTCAGCCTTACGACTCATAGCCAGGTGAAAGAAGCTTGATTTCCTTCATAATTCAATGAATGCAATATAAACTACATGTACCTGAGTTTTTGGTTAAAGCATTTTGTCTACTGCAGAAAGCACATCTTTCATAATCCCAATATACAATTTCAAGTTCAAAAAGAGAGGTTGAAGAAACAGTTGAATCTGAAGCTGATTTGTTTTCTTGGTGCCAAAAGGACTTCCTTTGGGTACTGTTCCCTTATTTGTTTTCCATGTAAGTTGTAAGCATTATTTAAGAGCCAAGTGAAATCTACTTCCTGCAGATTGGTTAGTCTTACCAGGGTCCTCTACACCTCTGGCCAATGAAATGCAGGACTTAATGTATTTATCATTATCATTGACATATTAATGTGCTCCCCTAATCCAGAATAGGCAATTTTTGCTTCTATTAGAAGTATGTATGCCTCTAACTTCCTGTAATTTCCATTGCTTTTCTTGATATTCTGACTCATTTAGATACTTTACTCACTATCCTCTTCAGCACTATTTTCCTGAAGGTATCAGAAGATGAAACAAGGGAAAAGTGCAGAGACAGTCCAAATACAGTGCAAATGCCCACAAAAATTTGAAAATATTAGTAATAATACTTTTAGATAAATACTACTGTGATTTGTGTATCCCCAACATGTGTTCCTTCCCCCCCTTTGCTCTGACCTCACTTTGATCTCACTCTAAAGTGTTAAAAAAATTAACAAACTGGGGGGCCTCCTTTACAACTGATTTGTTTGAGCTAACATTAGAGACCTATACTGCTCTTTGTTTCAAAAGTGAACTTTTTAAAATACATACTACATAGTATCAATTTTCATTTATGGCAAACAGAATTATATAGATTTATATATGTTCAGCTGTATCACACATCTAACAGAAACTGTGCAAAAGGGAATACACATATGGGAATACACATATTTCTGAGCCTTGAGACTGAAGTTTAAAGGAGTATTCGTGGGATACCCAATGGCACACAGAGAGTTTGAACATTTATACCAGTAGTATGTTTGTGTTTGTGTTTTGTACAAACACATTTTTTGAGTCTTGATGTGATAGACTCTCATCAAGGTTTACTTATTTCATCAGAGTATGTTGTGATGTAATAAGAGGAACATGTAAGTAGGTAAGATATATAGTAAAGACATTCATTCCAATTTCTTGCAAAAATCCCAGTTCTATAGTGCAAATGAAGCTATGTTGTTTTATGGCTGATTATAAGCAGGTAGAACAATTCCAAGAATTTGAAATCCAGAGCAAAAAGGCTTTTACATCAGGTTCTAACAAAAGTAAGCAAGCTCAGTATTAACGGTTTTTGTCACTACAGAGCCTTCAACCTTTCTTAGATGACTTGAAAGGCTGCTCAAGGCCCCAGTTAAAAAAGGGGTTTCCTGAGCAAATAGTTGAAATACACTTTCAAGTAGGAAATAATCCATTACATTTTGATCTGAAACATTTCAGCTCTCACTAATTTATACATTCAATGACATCTTATGCATTATATATACTCCCACCTACATCCAAATTGTCTGCAATTTTATCTGTTTACCAGAAACTTTAGAGTTTGGAAGTAACACATTGTATCAGTATGCCACTGGTTCAGTTTGTCAGAGTCTTACAGCTCAGCCTATGAAGGCAATCCAACACATTGCCTCAACTAATCTAAATTCTGTCAAAAAATTGCACAGAATTAAAAATGATTGGTATGCCAATTTTTCTCAATGGACAAATTTGAAGTTAATTTTAAGTTATTCCACTTACCAGTTGGCTGTCCATAATATCATCTTTGGGTGATGTCACAAACACACTCCTCTCCATCAAACCAACAAAGCACCAGAATGCATCAACCTCATCTTGAACCACTGCCAGAACAGTTGCTAGTAGGTCTGACATACCTTGATTGTATCCAACCTGAGGATTATGTGTTGCATAATTTAAGAGTATGTTCCTGTAGTAGAAATAAATGACATGAAAATAGACTCAATTGAACCAATCTCAGTTTATGGTGATTTTCCATTACATGTACAATGTATTGAGCATAGCGCTTCTGCTTAGTCAACATACTAAAATTTGGTAAAACTGCATGCAGATAGCTATTTGAAAAAGGATTTGAAATTGAAAATAATACATGTTCATCACTAGCTAGTGAAAATACCGAGCTCTTATGCTTCACAAATGTCAAGCTTTCTGATGACACCAAAACTAACCAGCTGTTTGATGGATTTTGTTAGGCATCATTATCAAGGACAAAGCTCAATAAATATTGCATAAAGGAAAAACAAAAAAAGACATTTCAAGCTCTATGGCATCTTTAAGGTAGCCACACCAACTCTTCATTTGTAAAGGGATAAGAGGTGCACCATAAGCAGGCTAGTTTTCATGCGTGTAACTTCAAGAGTTCAACAAGGTACCCAAACATCAAATATTTTCACCAAAGTTTTTGGACACATGCAACTGACTGGTAGTCTATGATAATCATCATTCTATCTATTTATTAACTTTAGCATGCCATCCTGTCCCCAAACTAATGTATTACATCTGTATTATTTGGACAGATGTTTTTAATACCTCATAATGGTAACATTTGGATTATCATTGCCAGCAAAGTATGGATGGGATCTATCTGTGCGGACGACATCTTTGTCAACAATGCATTCAACAGTCTTCCAGAATTTGTGTTTTTCGTCTTGGTTCTTCTCAAGTCTATAATGAAAAAAATCATAGCCACTTTCTTATTTAAGTAATATAGTCTGTAACTGTCAAACTTTTGTCAGCCACTTCATTCCACAGATTTCACTGAAATTGAAGTCTTGTTTTAGGGTCCTAATCACAAAATAAATATTACAAAGTTCCAGTTATTTTTGCTTTGCAAAAAAAAAAATGGGAAAGCTCACTTGGTCTGCCATACTTGCCTGCCAATATGGTGGATCCAAGGTGATATTTTGACTTCAACTCCAGTCCCATTGTAAAGATTTCATAAAATCTCATGATTCTCATAAAATGATCCTTTCTTCCTCTTAGCATTTATTGAAACAAATATGGAAAATATCTGGTTTGAATAACATATGATCCCAAAATTCTAAGGTTGCCTCAGGCCACCTTTTACAAAGAAAAAATTTACCCAAATTAGTTAACTAATAACTTCAGTGTTACCTTGATTAAGAAGATACCATTTACCACAAACAACATCTGTTCATAGATGAACAGAGTTCATAAATAAAAAAATGAAGGAAAAGAAAACTGTCAAGTAAAAAAATATATCAATCAATAAGGACCAAGCTATGTTTGGGGCCTGGTCCTAAGAGCTTCTAAATAAATTTACTAGTCAGAAGAAAATAGTTTAAGTAGATTTTTGTTCAGGAAGTTTCCCAATGCTGGTCCCAAATACTGCTCAGTCACCATGGATTGACAATTTTTCTTCTTTGACCTAAATTTCTCCCGTTTTTATATTAATGGCATCAATTCATCCATAAACAAACATTGTACAAAGTAAATGGCAACTTCTGAATGGAGGTAAAATTGGAGATATCAGGCTTAAAGTTGGGGTAAGTTTACACTGTTCATGGTGGCACAAAAAGACACTCAAACATTCAGATAACTTTACATCATATTTGTCCTTTACCTCATTTTTCTAATAAATTTAAAGAAAAAGGTAGATCTCTACATTTATTTTAAGAGATGTTAAGAAATCTCTATGAAAGGATGCAAGTTGAGGTACTAAGAACACCTTTGATATACCATGTTGGTGGGTAAGTATGGGCAGACTAGGCCAGTTTTATCAATTTTTTAACAAGCAAAAGCAACTGGAACTTCTAAATACCCATTTCGTAATTACGACCCTTAAATCAGCCTTCATGCAAAATTTCAACTAAAGCTGTGTGGTTAGGTGGCTGCAATCTTTAGAAAAAGTTAAAAAGTTACAGACTTGCAATGAATAAAATATATTGGACCCTGTATCAAGTGGATCCCATATAATGGAAAAAGTGAACTCTAAGCTCAAGTCCCAAATACTTTCTTCCATACTTACTGTAAATTAAGCATAGATTTAGCAAGAATAAAGAGAACATCAAATTTAAAGGCTTTTGCTTCATGAAAGCTGTTTTCAGAGGAAGATTTTCCAACTACACTAGTTTATTCAAGAATTACTCTGTTATCCCTGCGTAAATCTATTAAGTTCTTGAACAGGGTTACAAAGGACAGTCATGGTTCATCACATTGGCTTCCACCAAGGTATGCGTGGGAGAAACTCGCCTTGATGAACTTGCTATCTCAAAGAAGAGGGCAATGCAGTGGACAACAGATAAGAAGTAGCCACATGAAATCTTCCAAGAAAGTCACTCCTACCAATTACAACAGGAAACAACCACCTCCACAGAACATCTTGAACAGAGCAGAGCAGTTAAATATTCAATTTATCACCTCAGATGAACAACAGCTAGAACACTGCAATTACCAAAAATCACATCCTACCCACAACCCATCCAACTGTGTAAGGATCTCACCTACAATGTAAAATGTATCAGTCAGACCTCAATTTTTTTTTTCCATCTATGTTGCTGTCTAAAGATTGACAAAGTAAAGGAAGCTATCATTAAGCTAGTTTAGACCTAGCACTTATTACCGAAACTTGGCTGCAAAGTCATATTCAAGACAATATTGTCTCTATTTCGGGTTACAACTTTGTCCACCTTGATAGGCATTATGACACTCATGGGGGCATATGCATATACATCAAAAACTCCATCAGTTTTCAAGTACTGACAAAAAGTTTGAAGTAATTTGGCTGAAGCTATGTCCCCTGCAACTCCCCAAGGGATTGTCTTGCATTATTATTGCCAATGTTTACCATCCATAGACCAACAAAGGCGCAAAAGACTCAGACATGCTGAACTACCTCTTCAACTCCACGTTGGCCATCGAATCTCCTTCCCAAACTGCGGGATTCTAATAGCTCACAATTTCAACAGGCTTGACATGTCCTGCTTTTGTAATGCCTTCCAACTCAAGCAGATTGTCAATCATCACCAACATGACCCCATCTTCACCAAAATGAAGGACTTCTACAAGACCCCCATCAAACACCTTACCTTCGGCCTCTCAGGCCATGCCACCAATGAGATCCATCCCCAACTCTGACTGCACAAACCAAAGACCTAGCAATCTGTGTGCCACTATACACACCCAAGCAGAAAAATTGAACTTGGTTGCTACCTTTGTAAAATCAACTGGTCCCTGATGGAGAGTATGCAAGGTTACACATCAAAGCTTCAACTATTCACCTAAATTTGCAATGAACAGTGCACCAATTTGTATAATGTAATAATTTCCTCAGTTGATCACAAACTTTCATTCTTACTTCCTCCTAAACATGAGAATCCCTACAATCTTAAGAAAAAAAAGAGGGTATGACCTTCCCCAGGTGTGCACCAACCATTTCCAGCACTTGTTCATCCCTGCAATGTGTAGATTAGCAAACAACAGCCTATTGTAAAGAAGGTGCCACCAACTGAGCCATTCAAGAACCTGCTTTATCAAGTAACAACTATGATTCTCAGGTGGAAATACTCAAGCAATGTTTTGGCAAGACTCAAAAGATCATCTCTGCACACATGGAAGAAATCCTAAAATTGCAGCCCTCGTTAACTGATTGTCCATTGTCTCTATGATTGCTCTAGGATAAATTAAGCACACATGTGTGAGGACTATTTTCTCTTGCAGGAGTATGGCAAATTGTTTATTCCAATCATGTCATAAACAAGATACAACTGGAATCAAGAGATGAGATATGGAAAATGAATGAGCTGTTGGACTCAATCAAAGGAGAAAATGAAGTGCACAAAGAAAGTAAGGCTGTCAAACATAACAAGTCTAAGAATGAAAACTGCCAAACCCTGGTTTGAATTCCTCATGATCGATTCATACAGGCAACACACTATTTACAGCGGAAAGCAAAGAATTCTAATTTTGATGTGTTTATTGCAATGGGAAGCATTACCCAGCCTCCTGTATGGAGCTTTGACAATCCCACAATTGAAGAAGCATTCTTCAGAGGGATAATAAATGTTTTATTTACCTCAAAACTGGCCATGATGCAAAGAATTGCTCCTAAACAAAGAGATGCCAACACTGGGATGGAAAACATCCTCAATCCATAAGCACAAGAATGGAAACCACCACTCAACAAGAACGCCTGCAAAGTCTATGCCAAGGGGAACTGTGCTTCTTCAAACAACAAGTTGTAAACGACCCAATTCAATTCCTGCATGTGTGCTTTTCAACAATGGAAGTCAACAATTGTATGTCTCATCAAGTGTAACCTTGTCTTAATTTAAAGCCTCTCAATTCAGAAAAACTGTGCAGTAACACCTTTGGGAACGTGAAACAGGAATGCAATGTCATAAAACTGTATTTACAACAGGAAATCATGAAAAATTGGAACTGTATGTAGTGAACTTCACAGCAATCTGTTCTCCCTAACCAAGCAAGGGCAATGTAGGTGACTATGTCCATTCAGAAGGCCTGAATTTGGATTCTATTAACATTTAAATGGGCTCCGATGGCCACAGGGACTTTGTGATGGGAGATTACACCTTACATGATCAGGGTTTGACTGCAGTTTACAGCAAATTTGGATGGTAGTTGTCCAGACCAATGTATGATCAATCATCTAACAGTGTTGTTTCCTCCAACCTGATTATTTCTGGTGAATGCCATTCAATGTTTGGGGAGCAAGATGACAAATTGGTTGGGAGCTTGAAGAAATTCTGGGAGTCAGAGTGTGTCAGAATAATTCCAGAGGATCAATCAATACATCCTGATAAACAAAGGCCAGAAATCCACTTAGTTGCAACTAAGAGGTTGAATAACCATGGAATAGTTACCAACTGAGAAAAACTGACTGTCATCACTGCATCTCAAGTTGAAAGAGGAGCCAGATTTAGTAAGGAACTATGACAAAATTGTTCGAACAAGAGCAGACCAGAATCACTGAAAGGGTTTATGATAAAGAATCAAGCAGTACAGCTAACAGCAGCTGAGTTTATTAATCACCACACCATGCAGAGATCAGAAAAATTGGCAAAACAACTAAAGTGCAAACAGTTTACGACAGGTCAGTGAAAGCATCTAAAGAAGAACTGTTTCTGAATGACTGCTTAGAGATCGGCAATAATTACATTCTGTTCATATTTGTCAAGCTGGCAATATTTAGAAGCAACCTAGTTGGACTTACTGCAGACTTCAAAAAGGCTCTCCTAATGATGAGCATCAAAGAGGAAGAACAAGATATGCTCCACTTCCTGTGGTTTGACAAACCAGAACAAGACAGACCTAGAATTGCACGATTTTGATTCAACCAACTTTTGTTTGGATTGTGACCATCACCTTTGATACTCCAAGCAACAATTGCTTATCATTTACGTTTGTACAAACCAGAACTGGAAATGGCAGTGCTACTCAAAATCATATTAAGTTGACCATTTGCTTTCTGGAGCAGAAATGACGAACCCTTGATTCTATTTTAAGAACTTTGCATTGGCAAGTTCAACTGGACAAATTCAAGGAATCAGTTGAAGAAATTCACAAAACCTTTTATTGGAATGACTTGATGACAACATCATGCTGGATGAAAATCAATGGGTTTGGGAACAGTAAATGCAACACAGAGATAATGAGATTCACTAATTTAAACTTCCACACAAGCATGGCAACACTGTCCAGGTCATCAAAATCCTGCTGATTTGCCCTCATGTGAAGCAAAAATGGTGGACTGGCCTGCAATTCCTGTTCTGTACCTTCTGGATACCACATGGTCCAAGAATGGAATGACCCATTGTGAAGATGAAGCCACGCTCAAAGAAGTTGTTGACAAACCACCAGCTACTGTTCACTCCTTTGTGGATACTTTACCAGTTCTTCAGAGAAAAGGATTGACCAGATCATTGATATCAACAGATTTCGCCTCCTAACAAAATTCCTTTGTGTAAATGTTCTTGAATTGGAATAAAGTTGCCAAGGTAAAAATTGCTAAGATGGAAAGAGTGAGATTAAGTGCAGCAGAATTAAAGGGAAGCTGAACACTGTTAGATCCGATCAGTCCAAGGGTCATCCTCCTTCAAGGAAATTGCATTTCTTCTGCGTAAAGATCACTGCTACCCCTCCAATGTATGTTACTCAGTTTGGATTGTTCTCAGATGAAGGTGTTCTCAGGTGCAAGGGGAGACTGAACAATGCACTTCTGCTTGTGAACCCAAAGAACCCCATTCTACTGCCATTTTGGTGAGATTATCTTGCCATTCTGCATCAAATTTCTTTACTTCTTGTTCTAACAGTCAGGCATCTCTTTTACTTTCACCTATTGACTTTTCTCCTTTTTATCTTTCTCCACTCATATTCTAGTTTTAAATGCAAACAGACAGCAAAGATCTCCATGTGCAAAAAAAAGGAGGGGATGTTTACACCACTGAGATTAAACAACCTGGATGTTTTGCCTCAAGAAACCCTCTGAGTGTCATTTACGTTGACATGTTGTAATTGACTATTCACACTTTGGTGGGCAAAAGGATTCAGTTTAAAAATACCTTTTTGTAAACAACTGTGAGTATTTCAATATTTTATCAAAATTTTTCTTGGAAACTATATTCAAAATAATTGTACTTAGTTTGACATGAAGAAAAATAATTTTTTTTAAAAAAAAGCCCTTTAAGGTTTATCATATCCATAAGTGTTGAGCCACACACCTCAATTTTTAATTTTTTTTAATTATTGAGCAAAAATTAAGTAACAAAAGTTAAAGCTTTGCAGTGCCAGTAGTAGGCTGTCTCAAAGGTGAATGTTTGGACTTACTGAGTGATCTATTTCAATGCTACAATGTCACCTTGAAATTTTTGGCCAAGCAGAGGCCATAGAAGTGAGATGACAGAGCTGGGATAAACTGGTATATTTCTTGGCAACAAAAGTTAAGGAGGAACAAGATAAATTACTGTCTTTCATTTTTGCTCAATAATGTTATAGTGTTAATGATATTACAATGTGCACTAGTGGTATAGCATACAATACTGTCATATGTTTTCCTGCGAGGAAACATTAGTTTGAGATAAATCCTTAATATCTTTTTAAATATATTCCTACCTAGTGCCTTGAATATTCAAGTATTCTCTTTTCTTGTCATTCCGTATTTCTTCTCTTTGTTGGCTTGATGAACCAAAAGGAAGGTAATGTAGGAGGAATTTCCAGGCTTCTCTTCTAACCTCAGGACTCAGTCCACCAAAAAATGCTGCCTATTATATGTAAAAATAACACAATATTTACCAATTATTCACCAAAAGAAAGTGTCAAATGGATTATTCCACAATAATAGCTGAGCCCTAGGCAACTGATTCTTCTGGTAAAACCCAACAGTTGAGAAAATGACCCATATCAGAACCTTTTATTGTATTTCTGTCTGAAATGTTGTATGTACCCCATCTTTAAACACTATCAAGTAGTCTGAGCCAAATTCAGCTTTTGGTAATTCTACCTTTTAAGTTATAAATGGGCTAATGTAGTATGTCTACAATGGGGTAGCTCAAAGAGAGCAGAGAGATTCTTCTTCCTTTTCAGCACTTGGGCATACAACCCAAAAATGGTTCTGTGATGCATACATGTGTAGCCTATGACCTGTATAGATCATTTCTTGATTTGTTGTTATACTTTTAATATTAACTATTGCCGTGTTCAAATACTAAAGAATCTAATATCTAATCTAGAACCTGAACAGCTTTTCTGGGATTATCACAAATATCTATATTTGCATCTAGAATTAATAAATTTCTTGAAGATATGTAAGGACGCTGTGGACTTACAGCAAACTCAATTGTGTTATGATTGTTGGTGTATCCATCAATAAAGATTTATCAGAAAATTTTCTCCTAACATTTCAGGGTGTCAACAAAAGTGTTTTTGCATAACACAAAAATAGGCAGCCAATGGTTTCATATGTGTCACCTGTCAGTATGCATAAAGTAGCTGTTACTAGAATCAACCAGGGTTCATAAGGTATCTGGTCACTTCACCCCATGGTCATTTCAACCCCAGTCAGTTCATTCCAACCAAAAGTCAGTTCGCTCTATAATCGAAGTCACTTCACTCCATAAAAAAGTTACTTTGCTCCATGTTACAAGTCAAGTGTATATATGCATACAAGATTGCATTTGCCTAACTGATGTTATATGATCTTGATGATGTTTGTAATTGCTTGTTTCACTCACTCTAATCTCTCTCTGTCCCCCACGCCATGCCATCATTGATCAATGGTCAATTGAATTTCAAAAACTGTAACCCTGTAGAGTATGAACTGTATGTAAAAAACTCTTTTTTAAACATGTGTGTAGTTCAAGGGGTAATTCATCCAAGGACTTAAAAAGCAACTGAGATCTGGGTGTAGTTAGAGAGCAATTGAGTCTAAATATCTTTTTTTGATTACGTGCGTTGTTTAGCATTCACTTGTAGCACTTACATAGCAACAAAGTCAAACAAAGTCTGTTGATTGATTGATGGCCAATTGCATTTAAAAAAACTTTGTAAACCATCTACAGTTTCTACCCTATAAAGTTTCAACCACCTGTAAAACTTCTCCAGTTATATTTGATCTTGACATAGTTAAGGAGCTATTGAGTCTTAATATCTTTGTTTGATTTATTGCTTGTGCAGTTGCACAAGACTTCTGTTAATAAAGACTGTATTGTTGTCAGTTTATTGCCATGTATACCAACACGTAATGTGTGAACTTATGTTAATTCAAGGTGAGATTTTTTTTTGGCACAATGCACTGACTAAGTCTTTCAAAGACTCATTTATTTGAAAATTCAGAATCAGACCTTAACCTCAACTATTTATGTCTCAAAAAGGTCCTTAAAAGATTTTTTATCACTCTTAGATTAGTGAACTTGCAACATGATGCCTTAAACTGCTTTCAGTTTTCCAGTTCAACTTTATTAATTAAGACTGTATTGTTCTTTTCTTGTCACATCTACTTCCCTTGCACAATGACTATGTGTACTGGAGTGAAATAACTATTGTATGGAGCAAAGTGACTTCCATTATGGAGCAAACTGACTTTTGGTTGGAGCAAAGTGACTGGGGGTGAAATGACTGTAATTAGTTCATAATGGGTCCTGTTGCAACGTCATTCAGTGATTTCCTAGTTTCCCACCTTTGCATAACACTGGCATATTAAAATAAGTTTCCCACCAATTACTAAAATTTTTCTAGAGAGTGTCTCTATGTCATTTCATACAAGTATCCTTACTGTCAAACATATTCCTGCTGCCCTTTCTTTGTTTGATCTTCATTTACTCTGTTTGTTATCATTGTACATGACTGTTATTTGTCATTTCTTCATGTATTTTATAAACCACTAGCTCAGTAATCAAATTATGAAAATCTGCTAATGTGTTGGCTACATCACTGTCAAGCAGATGTTACCATAAGCAGGAATAGGCAATGGGAAAATGAAATGCAAAATTGAAATCAGAAAAATATTTAATTTTTTTTATTTACTTTTTCTAATAAGTAACAGATATTTTTCATTGATATCCACATTCTCTTTCAAAAACGTGACAAGCAAATTCAAGGAGTAAAAATCAACTGATGATAAGAAAAAGAGTGAGCTATGAGGAACAGATAATGTGCAAGGAAAAATATACAAGAATAGTTTCATGCAATTTAGAAGGTATTGTTCATTATCTTCTTTACACCAAAAACAAAATTTCAAACAGTGTTAAGATATTTTTAGCTTTTATCTTATTTCATTATTATTTCTTTTACAAAAAACTAATGGTTCTGCAGGTTCTACATGTTCTGCTGGGTACAGAGATTCCACAGTTTAGTACCACCCCACGTTTGTTATCTGAAGCTGTCACGCAACATAACCTGGACTGCAGTCTGATCAAGTACAGGTATAATAACGAAGAGCTCTACTTGCAAGCAATAAAACAAGGAAATACCGCAGGAAAATATTTCACAATGGGCTTCATCTTTACATTATATCAGTAGAGGTGCAAACATGAGCCCCAAACATGCATTGACGCAGGGGTAAAAATTCGTCAGATTCGGTCAAGAAGAACAACGAAGTTGAAGGAAATTAGCTGTACTTTAACGAATCGAACGCTCCCAAATAATCTTTGGTAACTCCTAGTCACTAAGATGAAACTAATATTTCAGCAAAAGCAATTGTAAAACTTTGCCACAAAGTAACGAGAGGAAAACAAGGGGCCCTCGGAACGAATTCTCGACAGAAATCCGGATATCTATCGGGGCATTCCACGGCACTGCGGGGTTACACGATTCGTGTTTTAAGCCGCACAAAAATGCGTTCAAACGCATTGTAACAGAACCTACAAACGGCTGACGGAGTGTGCACTGCTGATTGTGCTCCCTCCCATTTCTGTGTAAATTTGAATGGTTATGGAGCTTACCTTACGAAAATTCATCACGTCTTCAATTCGACCACGATCATCAAATAATTGTTTCCATGTTAGGACGGTCATCGGGTCAAATCTTCCTTCTTCCGGATGGAAGCCTTCTATAAGACTTCTTTTCGAAACCATGGTAAAACTTTTCTTTCGAAGATCATCCTCGTCAAGAGGATTTATGTCCCTTGCACACCAATCCCAAAGCTGCAAAACCTGAGTGATGCGATCAAGTCCACCATGATGAAAGTGAAATACCTTGTAGTGGTTCTCGTAGTTCCCGATCACTAATTCACCACAGGAGTCATCTTCTTGTTTATTAAATAACCTGACACTTTTCATTTCGCTGAGATCTACACTGAACTTCTCTGTGCTTCTAGAAATATTGGAAATTTGTGGTTCCTCCGTCTCTCGAACATCCATTATCTGATGATCAGTTGTTTCCGGCTGTTCATCAAAAAAGTAAGCATTGGGTGTCCATGCAACCAACAAGCGGACAAGTCCACTTCGATGGGTGATGGATTTCAAAGTAAAGTATCCTGGAGAATGAGATTCACTTAAAGAGGAAGAATGGACGCAAACATTGTTTTTACAGAACAAAACTTCCTCGCTTTCGCTGGGGTCATCTTCACTGTCCAAGTAAAAGGAACTGGGAATCACAGAATCGAACACCGCAGCACCCTCTACCGCAAACTTGATTAGATGACTCAGCATCTCAACTGACTACCACCAAAAACCAAAGGTAACTTACTCTGCATAATCAGCTTTATGACTGGAAGCCGAAAAATACACACTGTGCTTGATATGAATGTCTAAACGTCTACACGTCTTCCACGGCCGACTACATCTTTAGAAATCGTGACGTCACTTGAAACTGCCAATACCCGAAAGGTCTGGGTAAAAGTGTGTGCAACATGGCGGACGTGGATGAAGGTTTCTTTATGGAAGGATGGAGAAGTGTTCATTCTTCAGTCACAAAAGCTGACTTTTGTCGTTTCCAAGATGCAGTGAATGTATGGATAGAAAGACCAAATGTTGTAAATCGTCGTGTGATGGGCGCACTTATTGTGAAGAAAATGTTTGTTAAACGTTTGACTGGCAGTGATCTTGGGGAATTTTTGTCTCTTTCTGATGCTGAAATCAAGTGTTTATTTCAAGATACTGATTTAGAAGGTGAAACATGGGGGTGTGAAGGGGGTGATGATAGTTTTGACCCTGACGATAACGAAGTTTCTGGTTGTCATGAAACTCAAAGTTTGTCGAAGGATTCAGCAGTGCGTCTAGACGGTGAAGAATCAGTTTCCTGCATCGTTCGCAAGTTGATACCGAGACAGGCTCATGTTGAATTAATGGGTGCCATGTTCGAGTTGGTCATTTTAGGTAGGTAAAGTAAGTGTTCATGCCAGGAAATATTGCGCTGTGTTGAGTCTTTTTACACTATATGTGATACTGATAAGCCAAGCTGGAAATAACAGAAAATGGATCCATCTATTATAACGGCAAATCAACAGTGCATGTGCATGGATAAAGGGATAATTTTCTAAAGGAACATCAATGTTTAGGGAGAGGGTACAGCTAGATAATTCGGTTTTATCAACTGAGTTGATATCGTAAATTTGCCACCATAAATAGTTTCTAAAGCTGACATTTTTAGCGTTAGCCCTTCGTTAGAGGGGTACAGTGCAATGTCTAGAACAACTGTGTCGAAAAGCAGTAACCAGTCAAGTCACACAAAAGTCATCTTGCCTAAAATCAAATTGCCTGAAACCAGAGTTATTTCAAAATCCCTAGTCATGTTGCTCAAAGAAACAATCATTTAGAAGGTTACATTTACACACTACAAATAGGCAATAAAGTTGAGAAATCTTTATAACTCAAACATCATGAAGTCTTTGAACACACAGATGGTCAGAATTAAACTGTGTCTGAGTAAATTGGCTCTAAGAGCATTTTGGTTCATAACGAAGTGAAGTGTTCTTTGTTTGATACACAGTTGCTTTGTACCCTCAGAGGTTTCATACCCAGTCAATTTGAACCCAAACATTACTGCCCAAATTTCAACAATTCATACCCAGTTTGAGTCAGTTCATTCCCAACCTGCCAGTAGATTTGCACCCATCCAAACATTCAGTGATGGTCAAAACCCCAGTAAACAGATGTTGATCATCATGTTCAACAAGTTAATGATAAGTCTTGCAGGTAACATCCAAACAAAGTTATTTAAATTTGTGTTTAGTAGTAACCTTCCCAACAATAACAAATAAAAACTCCAGTTTTTCATAGTTTCTCATGACAAGTTCATTTAAAGTCAAGCAAGTAACATCCAAGTCCTGTTTTGTCAGTTTGTTACCTTTTTAGTAACAAATAACTTATTGCCCAGCACAAGGTTATTGTGATATTTCCAAGATAAGAGTTTATTGTTTTTACTTGTGACTTTCTAAACAATAATAGTCTGTTAGCATCATTTCCCTTTCAGTTATATAAATTTATTTTTTTCCCTCATTTAGTTTTAGCTCTGCATCTGTTGCAATTTAATTTAATTAATTTTCTGTGTCAATTGGAGACTAGTTCAGGGCAGTCTGAATCAGTTGCAATCTTTTTTTCACTTCTGTTGTTTTGTATAGATTCTTTTAAATCACACAATGGAAGTTTGTTTACTCTTCATGAAGTTAAGTCAAGTGTTGCTGTTAATGCCTACTTTCTTCAATCTTGCTTTCTAATATCAATTTTAATTATGCAGTATTCCTAAATGGGTAAAATAGTATTTGACCGGAATCTTTTAGTATTCAATAGATCCTTATTTTCTTGATAAGTTGGAGGTATCTTGTCAAAAGCTATGGCCAGTGACTCGCTAAGGACAGTGTACCAATGTTGATTATTTAAATGGCTTCCTATACTTGACTGTACACCTCTACAAGGTGTTTTCCTACCCACAAGCCTTATTTGCAAGGAGTTATGAAAGGAAAGTGTGATGGTTGAACCAAGCCTGATGGTATTCTTTTTTATCATCACAGAAAAAAACAAAAGTCGAGTTTCCTTTTGTCCACTTTCACTGATGGCAATGGAGAGAGGTTTCAAAAGTTACCAAGACCTCTTGGAAATGTCCAAGTCATACTCATTTGTTTATCATCAGCCATCTTGCAAAGGAGAACATGCCAGGTACAATGTATATGTGTATTTGATAACACCTACATGTACACAATTAACGATAAACCTACAGGGGAAAGGTGTTTAGAAAACTATACAAGTTTGCTGCTGTGACATTGTGAAATTCCTTTTTACTTGGGCTTCCTGTGGAAAATTCCAAGTCTTAAATTATCCTGCGGTTATTGTCTATCTTCCTAAAAGGTACTCCTGGCTTTCTTTTTTTTCTATGCAGGCACTGATTATCAGGCTCTAACTTCTAAACAATGGTGTTCTAAACAGCCTAAAAGAGTTTATGGTTACTGGTTATGATTTTTATCTGGTAAAAACCCAGATTTGAGTTGGAATGTGTTTGGAAGCTTGGAAGCTTGGAAGCTTGAAATTATTCAGCTTTAAATGTGGTTTTTGATGGAACAATTTCAGTAATTTTTATCAAAACTTGCAACTTGCAGTCACTTTCTAATATTTGTATTGTAACATGATTATCTTTGTATTGTTACATGATTATCTTTGTTTACAGGGTTTTCCCTATTAGCCTTTTGCCTCTAAATGAATGAATTGTTATTGTGACTAAAAGTTCTCTCTCTCTTTTTACTGATTAAAATTAACAATATGAGGTAATTTTTTGTGTTTGGTTACTGTTGGATCCAACCACGAATGTAAACACACAGTAAATGATTTCATAAAACATTTGAAATAAATTTAAAATGAACTGTAAAACATGACATTTCAACCAACCTTTGGTCATTTTCAAGTGAATAGTAAGAATGTCACAATGAATATACATATATGCATGTAAAAGTTGGCTAATAGAGGACCAAGGGGGGAGCTCATCGTAACTCTGTCTGTTTGTCCATATAAATGGCTGTTAAACAAGAAAAGTTGGTCTTTTGCTGCCACTCTAACAAGATCAACAAGGATCAGCTCATTGGGGTTAAGGTGTTGTGTTTCATCAAATCAATTATCAATGAAAGCCTTATTGGTGAGTAGTTGTATGGTCTCCTCCAAGGGTACATTCATTAACAGGGAAGAAACATCATAGGAGACCAAAATATCTCCACTGTATTTGTCAATTCATGGACCTCATTCATGAACTTGGTCCTCTATTAGCCAACTTTTTTATGTGCAGCATTGAGGATACTTTGAAGCATGAAGGCAAGATGCCCTCATACTGCAAGAGATATGTGGATGACACACTAATTATCATACCAGACACAACATCAGCAGTCAATTTCCTCGAGATTTTAAACTAGTGCTATTCCTCTATTAAGTTTACCATGGAGACAGAAAGTGGCCGCAATAGCATGCTTCTCTTTTTGGGCACCCAGCCACTCAACAAACATAAGTGTTGAGACTTAGGTGTATGTTAAACCCACAAATACTGGCCTCCTGCTGCATTACAAGAGCCATGTAGACAACTGATACAAACACGGGTTGCTATATACTATGGTTGATTGTGCAACTTGGCTTTCATTCAATTGGTGTTACTTCTCCAGGAAGAATGTGATTGACTGAAATGATTGTTTTCTCAACTAAAATAACCTGAAGAACTTGTTAACTCTACTTTTCCATGTTTTATTTTTTATTTGGTTTTTAATTAGCTTCTAATTATTTCTTCTCTTTGTATGCTCTTATTGTCTGTTTACACTGCCGAAAAATTTTACACTTCTTATACGCATAGATATATTCATCATGTCATTTCTACTATTCACTTGAATTTACCGAAGTTTGGTCGAAATGTTGCGTTTTACCATTCATTTTTATTGTCAAATACAATAAATGATTGAATCAATCAGCCAATGGACTTCAATTGTTCCCACCACTTGTGTTTCACATCAGATCATATAAAATTGAAGCAGTTTACAATTGTCCTGGGTTTGTGCCTGAACTGGACTTTTTTCTTGTTCAATGATGCTTAATATAAACCTTAAAGGGAATTTTACATAAGATGAAAGTTTGTGTCTTAAAGTTGAAGATTGATTGAAATAACTCAAGTAAGTCTCGACATGTTTTCAGTCTCACTTTGCATGATCTCTCCAAAAACTCATGTACCCACTGACTTTCCAAAGCATAGTGTGGTTTTGGTTTTTGGCTACAAAATGAATCCTGCTAAGTGTTCACTTAAAGAGACATAAATCACTAAAAATAGACCTTTAATCATAGAAGTGGCTGTGAGCGGACTTGACAAAACCTCGGGCCATTTTGATATACATGTGTGTTGTTGGTATTTGCTCTTTGAGAAACCTTACATGTACTAACTCAGTAACAGACTTAATGGGATAATAACATACATTGCAGTGCACTACTGGCATCAAGCCAGTAACCACAACGCACAAAATGATGCCATTATAGAGGGAATTCCCAGTAAAGGCCAAGCTTACCTCTTGTTAGAATAGAAAGATTGTGAATTCCAGTGCTCATGATTTAAACATTTCTTTTAAGCTTTTCTTTCAATATTTTTGGCGAGATTTTGGTGTGGAAAAGGCATGAGTTGAAGGCCCATCTTGCCAGAGCTTATCACATAGTCAGATTTCCCACTAGCACTGCAGTAGAAGTAAGTGTCTTGTCCAAGAACACAACATAAGACTTGAGTGAGACTTAAGCCTGACCCTTTGATCTAGATTCTTGCATACTTCTTACTGGGGCACTGTATCATGACTGACAGAAGAGCACGAAGAACAAATCATGCAATTTTTAAGTGCCACTGAATATTTGACAGGTCATATGGATGGATGGATGAATTGTGACACAAATCATTTTTCATAGCTTATGATATCATTGTCCATGGAGCCCTTCCTTTGAGAGTCTGTGCAGGTTATGTTTCTTAAAGTGATGATTACAAGCTGGATATTCTGACTTGGTTTCAGCTTTTTTAAGAGTACACTTCCAGAATAAGGCATGTAGACCCTTTTTGGAGTGAGAAGTATGTGAAAGAAATATGGAATGCGTGTGAAAATCCACTGAACTGCTGTCTGTAAATAAATATTACTGCCAAGGCTAATGCCTTTGAGTATGCTTTTCTTTAAGCTGATGGAGTGCACCTTAAAATCCAGCACATACACCTTACACTGTATTCAGGATGATTAATGTATCTTTGCATAAATGACATGACAGCTCACATTTTTCCCTCAATAATCTATAAATGATTTATTCCAAACTATGTTGATACCATGCCCATACTGTGGGATCATTTATGAGGCATCAGAGGTATATTCGTTACAATCATCAATATACAGTCTCAAAGATATATTAAAAATAAAGTAATTAAGATCATCAACTTTCAAATTGAGTAGCAGGGGGACATATAAGAACTCATGTGGTTAAAGGGTCCCTTTAGAGTTCTTCTGAAAATAAACATAATCAAGTTATACTCTGTCTTCTCCTAGAAGGTTAGCAGATGCAAGTTCAGAGGCATCATCTATAAAAGTATCAACTTTCAATTTAGCCAAAAAAAGGAGAAAAAAGCTGATGAAAAAAAAGGGGTTAAGTGCTCTAGCTAGCTGCTTTTAAGTACAGACATTCCTGCAACAGGCTCTCTTGTGTCAAGGCATGCTCTTCTCTCTCCTGAACTCTGTTCTGAGTAACATAACAGAAACCATTGTTAGAAAAGGGGCTGTCCAGGGTACAAGGTCAGGTTAAATTCCTTCATCCACTTTTGTAAATGTTTGCTAATAAAACAGAACAAGGAAATTGTTGAGAAATGAGAAATTAAGAGCTAACTATGGTGGCAGAGTAACTGAGGGTTAGCTCAGAGCCTTAACTGAGAAAGCTCATTGAAGTCTTCCTAGAATCAATGAGGCATCCTGCACTCCTCTGATATTTCCTGCTCCCAGAATTCTATGCTTTAGCAAAGGCAGGCCCACGAGTTTAAACTGAGATACCCACTATTTGTAATCATCATTCATAACCACAGGTCATTCACTAAAATTCAATGTATTGTAATTGACATTAGAGTTTCACTACTACTGATGGACAGTGCAACATTGTCTGAAAATGGAAGGGATGGGATATTATGTCCTACAATTCACTGGCTGAAGGATATCTTACTTCCTAAACTTTGCAAGTGGGCAGGAGAAGCTCAGGGTAGCCAAGTTAGTAGAGGATCATTAAGACTTGTCCCTTTGGATCAATACACAAAGATATATCAACGCCTAAAACAAGACTTTGGAGAAAAGTTTGTAAAGGTTAGTAATTCACTTCACCCTGGTTGTGGTACGTTGTGTAGATGTTCATAAAGGTACATAATTAACTTAACTCTGGTTGTGATTGTGTAGACATTTCCACATCATTAGTGGAAGTCAATATGTTAAAAAAACCTTATTGATCATAGAAATGTTGTCAACAATGTTAAAAAATTAACAGTGAAACCAAACAGCTGCTCCTTATGGTTTCACCTAAGTTACAATAGCATTGAAATTTTTGCTAGGTTATGCACCAAAAGTTTTTGGAAAATCACTCTTGCATGATCAATAGTTGCCTTTTTGTTTTAGTTGTTGTTGTTGTGATAATTTGTGTTACTGAATGACTTCCACAATGAAATACCAATAAGAAGTGGATGGTTATAGACTCTGTTATCATGAATTGTTATTATCACCCACTTAGTTTTAGTGCTCTTTGCTTTGGCATGGGTAATAATTTCTTTGAGGTCATCTTTCTTCAAGCCTATGAGCCAAAAACCAGCTTTCTTTTACTCAAGACTTTTCTTCCACTTTTTCTTCCATCGTGACAAGTTTTTCTTCAAAAATTTCTTCAAGAACACTGATCCTAAAATGCAGAAATTCATCACCATCCACTTTTCAGAAAGTTGCTATCATTTGCAAGAGCAAAATTTTCTCTGACATGGAAAAGATTGCTGAGCATTTATGTTACATGTTGTGTCATTTTTATTGTTGATAATATTTGTGATGAAAGTTCTTGACCAATGAGCATGCAATAATTTCCACAAATTATTATTATAAAAAGACACTTTTAGGAAGATAACTCTGGCATGTTGTTTGAATTTAGCCAACATGCAACAGTAACACGTCATTTTTCACGAAAGACTTAGGTAAAGTAAGGCAAATGTAGTAGAATCAATACTGGAATTGAAGCAATCAATGACATAACATAACATAACTGTTTAATGCAGTTAAATGCAATTTGATGGAGTTAACAATAAAGAGCATCAACATTCTCTAGTAGTTTTTTTTTTGCATATGTGCATGCATTGGATTTCCTTGTGCTTTTCGATGGGTGCCTGTGTCTCTTTCCTGTGTGGGGGCTCATGGCTGGGTTGCCAGGATTTACCAGCCATGGGAGAAGTCTCCATCTAGGAGCTGGCTACCAATAGTGGAAGCTCTTGGATGTTTCAGGCACCCAACCTCCATTTAGGGACGCAGTTGTTAATTCATCATTCAAATTCAAATGAAAGGTGAAAAGGAGACAAAAGATATTATCTCTTTCAAGTTTGTCTCCTGAAATAATTGAAAATGCAAATTTACTTCTGAATAATATTCACAATAAGACAGTTCAAACATTAGTTAAATGGCATCTGAGTCTGTTCTTGAAAATATTCAGTTTCTGCATCTGCAACATTATTAGGTAAATTATTCCATTCATTGACTATATTTACAAAGAAAGAATAGTTAAAACTATTTAGCTTTGCAGGAAAAGGTCTAAGTGTATGGTAATGGTTGGCTCTTAACAGTCCAAAGTCATGCGCAAACATAAATACTCAAATGGAAGTAGCCTGTTAAGACCATTAACTGTCTTATAGCACTTGGTAGGGGAAGAAAATAATCTTCTCTGATGTAGAGTTGGCCATTTGGGGAACTTTCATTGCTCTTCATACAACATTTCTCAGCCAATGCTTCTGAGAGCATATCTAAATGTCCTACGTTGGACTTTGTCTAAAATAACAGAGTCCTTTTTGAGGTGTGGAGGCCACACTGGAGAGCAATACTTTAGTATTGGACATTCTAAACTCTTACACAATTTCGACTACAATTTAGGCTTCCTGAGGCCTACCATTCGACTCATAATCTTGTTAATTTCCCTAGGCAAGCAATGCAGAAGACTGAGATCAGTGTCTTTGATAATTTTGGTTAAATAATGGGAAATTATATGTCGGAGTACTCCTTTGTAAAAACTAATGCAAAGTATTCATCCATGGATTCAGTGATATTGCTTTCATTTGTTAAAATGTCACCATTATGAAGCTGGAGAATGATTAGATCATTTGTTCCATTATTTTTCAACCTTAAATAATTCCAGAAAAGCTTTTGTTCATTTCTGTCATTGAACAGATTGTTTGCCAATCTATTAAGGTATTCCCAGTGGACCTTGTTGCATTCTTTCTTCAAAAGGTTGCTCGTATTTTTATATAACAGCCATGTATCATCATTATTACTATTCTTGGCTTTCTTTTATAATTGTTTCTTTCTTTGTAAAAGTTTGATTATGTTTGGGGAAATCTATGTGGCTTGGCATTTTTTCTAATTTCTCTGTTTGGGTGGCAGTCATCAACTGCAATGAAAAAGAGGTCCATCCACGCACTCAAACTTTCATTTATGTCATCAGAGAGAAATGCACGATGTCATAGTACAAACAGGGTTTGATGCTACCCTGGTTTAAAGATTTCATGAATGTAACCGAGAAGTTACAATTCTTAGACCCAACATTTCAACACCCCAGTCTAGTGCCTTCATCAGGGGTGATCTAAACACTGCAGGATTCTTAGGTTTCGATTCTCAACACCCTATTTGCCATAAAAAGTCTGTAGCCAAAACTTTACTTAGAAGGGCCGACTGTCTACCATCTTCACTCAATTCAAAGGCTAAGGAGAGGAAATATGTTTCCAATGTCCTAAAGGGGAATGGCTATACAAAAGCTTTTATCCGTAACTGCCAAAAACCATTTACAACTAGTAGCACTTCTCATGAGAGGGAACCAGGGATTGGTTTTGCTGTTATTCCTTACATTCAGGGTATTATGGAACCCATCAAGAGAATTTTGAATAGCCACAACGTTAAAGTTGCTAAAAACCCTTTTCAGACTTTGGGGTATATTTTTGCCAAACCTAAGGATCCTGTTGTGAAAGAACAAGGAATGGACGCTATTTATTCTATTCCATGCAATAACTGTCATAATGAGTATATCAGACAGACCAAACATCAGTTTGGTACACCTTTGAAAGAGCATCAAAAAGTGGCCTACGGTATTTCTTCACCTTTAAGCCAAGTGATTTTTCAGTATTTGACAAAAAAGGTTGGGAGATTTTTTCATAAGAAACGGGATTCAGCTTATAGCCGAGGGTTTGGGATTCAAAAACAGGTACAAATTTAATGTTAATGCGAAATGACCGTTAATTCTGTGACTGCAGCACTCTTTACGTGACATGCTTTAAAATTGACATGACAAGAACGTATTTCTTTCCACCAATCAGATTCTTTGCTTCCCGAGTCTGTTGAAGGTCTCCAACTTTTAGGGTCTTGGCTTATAGCCGAGGTCAGCTTATAGGTGAAGAAATACGGTACTTTTGCAAAAAAGAAAACTCAGCTTTATTGGAGCACACATGCTTAACCAAACATGCAATTGGGTGGGACAAGTCTAAAATTATCACCACTCATCAGTGTTACCACCAGCACCTTTGTTTGGAAGCCTGGCATATTAACTCTGCCCACACTCCTTTAAGTTGTGATGATGGCTGCTTACTTCCTGACGCCTATCTACACCTTGTCAGAAAAAAGGGTAGTTCATTAGTGAGCATATAAAAGGACCTCCTGTTGCAGCATTTAGATCACCCCTGATGAAGGCACTAGACAGGAGTGTTGAAATGTTGGGTCTAAGAATTGTTACTTCTCAGTTACATTCATGAAATCTTTAAACCAGAGTAGCATCAATCCATGTCTGATTGTCCACCTGGCTGCCATGTGAACCTTAATATATGCCATAAAATACATTTGAACAGCTTATTTAAGCATGACCAGTCAGCTTTGTTGAAGTCATAAAATTTTCTTTCAGATAATTTGCATTGTTACAGATGATTATTCATTTTATAAGTTACGATTTTGTGATCGGAAATTGGTTGGCCAACATCCACATTGTAAATGATACGGCTGTTGTTAGTCAACAAAAGGTTAAGGACATTGTTTCCTCTTGTTGGTTACAACACCTATCGAGTTAGGAAGTTGTTAGAAACTACGGTATGTCCCTGAACTGCTTCTAATCGTTTCAGTTGTTAAGAATTAATCTATTCTGCCAATCAATATCTTTAAGATTAAAGTCTTGGACTAAAGTCAATTCTGATTGAGGTGTCTGTAATTCCAAATTCTCTGCAATGCTTACAAACATTTTATGTGGCTTGACAGGGTCTGTAAAACATGCCAAAATTGAAATAATTGTTTTTGAATAGTGGATGTCGAGCGTTAAGAATTCAATTTCTAATTCTTCCAATAAGTGTCATAGATTGCAAATGATCCTGCCACTCATAGCTACCAAGACTCCTTCCCCTTTGCAGTTTTTATTGCATCTGAATACCACAAAATTTGAAGAAAATAGCTCTGTGTATGTCAGTGAATTGTCCAAATTCGTCTCAGTTACTGCAATAATTGAAGTTGTACAGTTGGCTTCTAAGGATTATGATTTATTTATCAGAGATTGAGTGTTATAATAGGCCACGTTCAGCTTCAAGTTGGAGCAAGACTTAACTCCATGTTACCTCCTATAAGCAGCAAAATTATGAGGCTTGGGTGAGTGCTCCAGTAGTACTGACGCCATCTTGTGAAGCAAGTGTGAAGTTGGTGATCAGAATTTATTGAGCACCAAATGCTACTTAATGCTGGTTCCCCAAAACAGGACAAACTAGTATTTGTTTGCAACATATGGATTTTATGATTTCCATTCCTAGAGTCCCACTTTGACTTGAAAGTACATGCTGAAAGTATCAAATTTGATAAAATGTGACATATGATAAAGTACAATTAATTAATGGTAAATATTTATGATTCCTCAAACAGATGTGGCCAGAAAGTACAGATCCCCAGAAATTTGTGTATGAAGATATTGCTATAGCTTCATATTTGCTGGTAAGTACTATAGTTTCTGATAAAAATGAGAATTCTTAAATATACAGTCAGTAATTTTATGGTAATTCTATATACCACTTATTCTTTAACTCCTTTCCTATAGCTGTTGTCTTGAACTCAGTTTTCTGTTAATTGCCAACCCTTTGTGTTGATTTATGATGGTGTAGCCTGTATCAGGTCAGCTCCTAATTTATGGAGATGCTAAAACTAGCCCAGTAAAATATGGCAGGAATTTAGGATGGATAAGTGCTGCTTGCTGGCTCTTCACACACACACACTCACACACACACACACACAGGTGGCTTTTAATCAACAGTTGTGATAGGGAACCTAAATAATATGATGTGTATTTCCCCCCCCCCCCCATCCCCCAAAAAAACAAACAAACAGTCAAATAGAAAACAAACAAAACAAAACAAACAAAACACTTGTTTTCAGTGCTGGTTTTAGATGGCTACTTTTTGTCTATGCTTTTGTTTTGTTGCTGAATTTGCACCTCTCATCCCAGAAATTACTAATTCTAATGTAGATATATCCTTTGTTGTGAACAACCAGTACACACTAATCTCTCAATCTATGCATGTACCACTCTCTTTTAATTTATAGGAAGGGAGAAAAGTCCTTAAAATGTTCTGAGTGGATTGTCTTAGTTTGTGAGACTGGTGATTCATCCTCCACTTCCTTATAAGATAATACTGTTTCATCTTCACTGAATTCCCTCAGTTTCAAGAGAATGTTGATATATGCCTTGGGGCCCTTGTTATCTGTAGAGATTTCAACTATCATTTAACCTTTTATTGCAAAAGAGTGACTGGGATCTAGCTTCTTCTTACAGCATCACTGCTGAATCCAAAATTAAGGTCATTAAAATAAGGAACATGATTACAAACTGAAGAAGCTTGTAATTGCCAAACAAATCCTCCTAATCACTACTATCTTGCAGGAAACATAAAGATGACAGTGTTGAGAATATGAATAACAGTATTAGGGCAAATAGGGTTTAAGAGACTGCTCCTAAACAACACATAATCCATTGTAATTAAAAAAATTCTTCATCTTCCTAAATTTCAGTTCACTTGACAAAGACTGTGATATCAGAAATTCAAACTGACGGCTTATTGAATATGGATTATGAGGAAGTGACACTTCTCATAAATTTGGACCCTATAAGTGCTGCCTTTGATAGCACTTAATATGCCATCCTTCTGTATATCATGCAGTAGGATTTTGGAGCCCTTGGTCCTGCATTAAATTGATTTGACTCATTTTTATGTGATCATTAGCAGCATATTTAGATTGGTGGTAAAACTTCCCATAACTCAACTCCATGGACCATATGGAGTCAGTCAGGATAGTTGTTTGGTTCCAATTTTATTTACACCTTATATCTCCCACCTATTTTTTAATTACTATTTCTCATCATTTCACTTTCATTCATGGATAAACTGATGACATTCAGATCTACATTTCCTTCAGACTTTGCTCTATTCACTCAGAAAGCAACACTGTTCTGTGATCAGAAAGTGCATTTTGTTGAGAAAACTGAGTTATGGCACAGTTTGACAACTTTAGAAGATATCAATTGATTTATTTGTTGTTGATGAGGCCATCTCTAGCCTTTAGAAAGCCTTTGAAACCTTTGGTCCTTGTTTGGTGAAGTAGGGCTTTGTGTGAACTGTACAACATCAGGCAGATCAGGAAACTCTTTTCCATACATGATTATTGTGACTCAGTTTGTGTTAGTCTGCCTTATGGATTGTTTACAGAAAGTTCAGGATTCTTGGGGTGATTTTTCAGATTGCAAAATTTGATCATGTCACTCCTGTTCTTATCAATCTACACTAGCTTATTGTGGATCTCATCCTCTAGTTTAAATGGCACAATTTAAGTTGCTGGTGGTTTAAATTAAACATGTTACCTTCTTTTCGTTTCAAAAGTCAACTGCTCTAAACTTATAAATTGTGCCTCTGTTAATGCTGCTCCTCTCATATGGAAATCCTTTTTTTTATCAATTAAAACTTAGAGCAGTCTTACAGTTCTAAAAAGACAGTTTGGAACATTTATATTAAGGAAGGCTTGTAGTCTATGAGTGGTATTGAATGTGATGTGCTTTTGATTATTTCTCTTATACTAGTAAGGCTATACATATTCTTAATTTGTTAGATAGAGAATAATCTATGGACACACTTAGGTATGGAATTTTCTTTAAGAGTTCAATTTGATGCCAACAATTGAGATATCAATTCAAACACAAGAGAAGAAACTCCATATCTACAAGCAACTGTATATAATTTCGTTGATGACTGTATATGACAGGAGTGGTGCAAACTGACAGTGATTTCAAGTTCACATAGAAAATTTTTACACAGGTATAGTTACAGCCTTTCTTAGGGCTAGAAATCCTTGTAAAAACACTTTTATTATCATTGAGGTATCACAGAAGGAAATTAGTGTTTTCGCTCAAACTGAGAAAGCGTGAAAGCTATGCATGTTAACCCTATAAAAGTATACATTTCCTTAAAGCTTAATGAACACTGATTTCAGACATATGATTTATTTTCATAAATTTTACCAGAGTAAAGAATGGGAGCTTATTCATTGATGCGAAGACATTTTTCAAGATAAGTTTGTTTGACGGCATATTTTAATTGACACGTTTCTTTTTTATTGGAACATGATTCCATATGCTGCTCGTTTTAGGAAAGATTTCTTTTAGTTTTTTGCTTAGTCATTAGTACTACAGTACTAACGGTGTTCACCAGTACTATAGTACTATCAGTACGTATGCTAACTGTGTCACTAGCGTACCAACGTACTAGCGTACTAACTCCACTTCTCCGATGAATGAACTGCGTCGTTATGTACTAGCGTTCGATTAAAGGACTGCATGTCACTAGCGTACCAACGTATTAGCGCACCAGCTACACTTAGGGTTGGATTAAAGAACTGGATGTCTCGTGTGTACCAACGTACTAGCGTACTAACTCCACTTCTGCGACAACCATGACTGACCTGCGTCCTTGTGTACAAGCGCTCGATCAGAGGACCGCATTTCACTAGCGTACCAACGTACTAACGTACTAACTACACTTCTCGAACAAGCACGAATGACTTGTGTACCAACGTACTAGGGTTCGATTAAAGAACTGTATGTCTCTTGTGTACCAACGTACTAGCGTACTAACTCCACTTCTCTGACAACCATGAATGACCTGCGTCCTTGTGTACAAGCGTTCAATCAGAGGACTGCATGTCACTAGCGTACCAACGTACTAACGTACTAACTACACTTCTGGAACAAGCATGAATGACTTGCGTACCAACGTACTAAGGTCGATTAAAGGACTGCATGTCTCTTGTGTACCAACGTACTAACGTACTAACTCCACTTCTCCGACAATCTTGGATGAGCCAGCCAAAAATTTTGTTTTTACCTTTTTTATCTACTTTATTTACTTATTTTCCATTGTAAAATGTCAGCCTGTTAGAGAATCAGTACCTTTTTTAATATCCCAAACTAAGTGAATGTTGGGTTGAGGGCTTGAAATCTTAATCCAACAAAAACTCCACATTCATAGTACAGAAACAGTTTTAGTAATTAAGAGGCCAGGGCTCATGTAGGTTCTTTAGCGGCTGAAAATTTAGTTCAGGCTATTCCAAATTGGGGGTAAAATCACTTAGTTATTGTGACTTGAAATCTTAACTTAAGAGCATTGTGAAGAGTGTCAAAGAAAATTCATGTCATTGTTTCTCGACATAGTGACATCCCTCACTAATGGAGGTGTTTTCTGATAGCAACTTTACATTTTAAGGATCCCTGTCTGTTGCAAAATATTTTAAAGCCAATTTATATGCTTCCAGTCATTATGGGAACGTGTCTAAGTATCGTAAAAAAGGTTGTGATTATTCATCACGGTGAATAACAATAAAAGCTAAGTTTTTCGTTTGTCTCACGATGTAGTCACATAATGTAGATCGTGACATTTTGACTGCATACTGCTAGTCTTTTTCAGGCAATGAGGTTGACTGGTCATGCATGATCTTATCAAGCATGATGCTCTGCTGTGATTAGTTGGTTTTCAACAGCTCTGATTGGTGCATTTTGATCCTTGCTGTTTCATTCAGTGATTTGCTCCCTTGGCGGTCTGCCGTTGCATGGCTCTCCTGTTGTTGTGTTTTTTGATTGTGGGCATCCACAATCAAAAGACTTCACCCTGACAACGTTAACAGAGACAGTGGAATAGAAATTCTAGAAGCGTGGGTGCCCACGATCAAAAAATACAACAACAGGAGAGCCTAGTGACAGCGGACCACCAAGGGAGCAAATCACTGAATGAAACGGCAAGGATCGAAATGCATCAATCAGAGCTGTTTAAAAACAACTAATCAATCAATCAATCAATCAATCAATCTTTATTCCTCCTAAGATAAAAAGACATATCTTAAGTTACATCAGCAGTTAGGAGTCTGAAAATACACGACATACTGTATAGATATACATAAGACATACTATATGAAACAATAGAAAGATCAAAAATTATATTTAAAGATAAGCCTATTTACAATAACATTCTTAAATCTGTCAGTCTTTATATCTGGGTGATGAGCACTTTTGTTTCTGAGTTGGTACTTTGTTTCTTTCTTCTTTGGAATGATGTTACTAAGTGGGCAATCGCGATCCACTGAACGTACCTTGAAAATCTTATTATTTGCCTTTTCTAAAAGTTCCTGAATGTCTATTCTCTTAGATGTGTATTTGCCTTTAAAGCATCTGTCCATAAAGTTTTGTATGACCATGAGATCTGTGTCCATAGTGCCATAAACAGGCAGACCATAAGTGGAGTTTAGTGAAACTAAGGCACTAAATACGTGGTCTACTTCACCTTGACTGAAACCTTCCTTCCGTAAAGATCTTAATACAAACAGACACTTATTTGCCTAAATCAACTTAGCATATACATGTTTGCTCTATTTACAATTCTCCTGCATTGCCGAATGTTATTAACTTGCGCAATATCCTGAATAAAACCTTTCTTGCGAAAAATAATTTCTTTACATTTCGACAGATTACAAATCATATTACTTTCCTTAGACCAAACCAAAAACCAATCCACCAAATCCGTACATCAGTGGCCATTACTCCAAATGGGAACAATGAGAGTAGAGTTGTCTGCGTATTTAAACAGGGCTGGGTGATTATCTATGCTGACTTCCAGATCATTAATAAAAATACTAAATAAGTACGGACCACTCACACTACCCTGTGTTGTGCCCCTGTTCACACATTTCCACTGTCCCTGAAAACTATTATAAATAATGCACTGTTGACGATTCTCAAGAAAGCTTAAATACCAATTGATTATGAATGGATTTAACGATATATCCTTAAGCTTATAGGACAAAAGTTTATGATTAACACTATTGAACGCTTTACTGAAATCCATGGAAAACAAACGCATGGCTTTACACTTAGGGTCATTTAGATAACTATAGATGGTGTGCTGCATACTGAGGAGTGTGTCAATACTGCTCCCCCTGTCCTGTAGGCAAACTGAGTTGAGCTCAGATGTTGCTCAACAGTGTCCCTCACGTGAATGTTATAAACAGACTTTTAAAATGCACGTGCAATTACAGGGGTGATGTTGATTCCTCTGTAGTCTATCTTTCCCTTGGGAACATCAACCTTGGGGAGGGGTTTCAAGTGAGCTCTTTTCCATGATGAGGGTCAGGTATTGAACCTTGGGGATAAGTTCCCCAGATCTTGCAAATTAAAGGTGTAACAATTTCCGTGTGGTCTCTCCATACCCAGAATGGTATGAGGTCTGATCCAGTGGCAGTTTTCTTCAGGTGCTGCAAACAATTCCATACCTGTCTTTCTGAAATCTCAGGAACTTGAACTCCTCTCTCAAGTTGGGCAGGTGTAGGCTGTTTATACGCACTGTCTCGACAAAATTCAGCAAAATAATCATTCAGCTCAGCCAAAGATTGCATGTACAATGTAACCATGGCCGAGGAACACTAGTGCTGTGACAGGCTATCCATGTGTTTCCACCACTTTCCAGCTCCTACAGGTGCTTGAAGATTTCTCCTGTTCTCACTGATAACTTCACTTATTCTCCTGTTAAATTCCCGAAGCCGATCCCCCCTGTTTTGACCAATCCTGGATTTAGACCTCATCAGGGACTTGAGAGGGGGTGTTACCCACACCGGATCATGCAATGAGATGCAAACTGTTCTGAATGGCATGCACTTATCCACGTGTCTGTGAATAAGAGTTTCCAAGTTATTCACAGCCTCATCCACATCGTTTGTTCCCAAGACACTATCCCAAGTCTCTCCCACAATTTCTAAGTATAACACCTCCTTTCAGTGTTTTCTGCAATCCCAGATGCGAATTTTTTGGCAAACAGGTTCGAGGTTTGATCCCACTGGTAAAATGACCGCCATGTGATCCGTTTTTATTGATATAGAAAATGAAGCACATTTCCCAAATTAGTCTGGTCGATTTGTAAGGACATTATCCAAGTATGCAACACCCTTAGTTGGAAAGTCCTCAAGGAAGTTCCATGCTGTCAATTGACAAAGATCATTTACCTCCAGTTGAGTAGTATCGCTGCCCAAGACAATGGTCAATCCAGGGTGTTGATCTAAAGCATTGTCCACTAAATGAACAAGGTATTGTAGAAAGTCCGAAGGCCTGTATGTTGGCTGGGGCAGGTGGTACACTCCACACACTAATAGTAAGTGTCCTGAGGGTAATTTAAAAGTCCAACATAAAAGTTCATAGAGTTCTGATCTATAGCAATCAATTACGTCCAAGTTACTCCTTGCAAATATAGTGATTCCACCTTTACATCTGCTATCCAGGCCTAACCAGTTCCTATCTTGTCTAAAATATTTTGTAGCTGGGTATGTTAACAATAGTGTCCAGCATTCCTGGCTTAAGATGGGTCTCAGAAACAACACAGATATCAATGTCTTTGTTATTCAAATCTGCCTCCAGTGCCGCAGCAGCTCAAACACGGTTCTTAGTCTTGGCAAGGCTGCAAATATTTGTAGATAAAAATTTAGGTACCATAAATTCTGAGCTGGATTTGTTAGTCGTAGGATCCACTTGTCTAGCAATAGGGACAAGGTTTGCTCTAGCCATGCCATCAACAGGACAGCAGTCGACACTCCAATGACTGATTTCATCCCTCCTATTAGAAATCTTGACTGGAATCCTTTGTCAACAGCCTCCTCTAGATCCTCTATATCTTAAGATGCCAAGCAACTTAAAGGATTGAAGCACTGAGGGGCTAACTGAACTTCAGTACTGGCGACAGATATTCAGCAAACAAACTCAGGAGTATGTTGTTTTACTCGTATCGCTCCCTTGCGGGTTCAGTTCATCTAGTTGATCTGTGGTCTCCCTCATAATATCTCCTGGTCCAAGATTACTTTCTACATCCATATAAATCGTTCTATTTAGCAGCAGATCATGACCAGGAACAGCAAATGTGGTCAAGCCATGCTTCATCCATCTTGTCAACATAACCCTAGTCTGACCGAATCCTGACCGAGACAAAATTACTTTTGCTGGAGCCAACCTGCTTGAAACCAATAAAGGTGTGGAAACTCTGTTTCCCTTTCCAAGGAGCGTCATGTACCCTATATTCAAGAAGCTAATCATAGCAGAGCATCATGCTTCATAAGATCACACATGACCAGTTGACCTCATCACCTGAAGAAGACTACCAGTGTGTAGTCAAAGCATCACGAGTCTAAGTATGTTATGAACAAGCAGCTATACAAATCACATCTTTTCTTATCTAGTAAAGCACTTGAAGTTGCTTTTATTACATGCATCATGTGTTAACTTTTGAAATGGCCATGTAAGTGGGTCCTTAACTAATACAAGTGACCTGATTAAGAAATGCATGGGTATGCTCAACAAAGGGAAAAATTGTCGACTACAAATGGTTACTTTTGTGAACATCAAACAAAGTGTTTGGTGTCCATAAATTTTGCTTTCATTACAAGACAAGTAAATGTCTATTCTACCCTTAAACAGCAGAAGCAGCAACAATCTTTATTTGTAGTCTTTCCTGATTAACCTACCAGTAATACATAATTATAATGAACAATAAATAGTTGTAAACTCTTAAGTGATGTGGTTGCTTTGGATAGAGCACCCAACTGACTGTGATATTGATATCATATTAAATTGTGATAGGTCCTTTGGAAGAAGGAGAGATATGAGAAGAATCTTAAGCAGAAACAGAGCTTTGTTGATCTTGGATGTGGAAATGGATTCCTGGTTCACATTCTCAGCAAGGAAGGGGTATGTGTTTTTCTTTTTTTTATTTGTGAAATTTCATCATTAAGCATTTCCTGATAATTAAGCACAGACCCTATGGAATATGATATTTAGCAAAATTGTGCTATTGAAAGGAATTGAACTGGGCAATCACTTTTTTAAGTCATGAAAGATGCACAAATATTGCAGGAAAGTTAGTTAAAATTAGACAACTAAAGCAATAACTTTAGATTCCTTGGGGATAAGTTGTATAATAAATAGGCTATTTTACATGCAAGGTCATAATAACTGGTGTTTTTAACTAGTGGTTTTGATGGGAAGCATTTGAGTAAGTTTCAAAGCTGCAAGGGGAATAAAACACAAAAAAATGCCTGCTAGGCAGGTTATTCAAATGCAACACCATGTGCAGTTGAAACCCACATTTGCAACTGCCTGTACAATAATAAGAGTGATTAGGTCAGTAATGTCAAAGCAGCTGTTGCTGAAGGTATAAGAAAAGTGTGGATTATGAAACAATTAGATTTTCCAATACTTGTTACAACTCTCATACAGTAATTACCTTTACAGACAAGAAAAGTCGACCTTATTAATGTATTTCAAAAAATAGGATCCACAATTTTCCCCCCCCCCCTCCCAAAAAAAAATCTTAGGCTGTAGTGGCAATAAAGCTCAAGATGATAAAATGCGTTGTCATAGGCTATGCTCAGTCCATAAAAACTAGTTTGATGTATTCATGTGCTATCTTTTACAACATCTTTGAACTAACTAGACTTGATGATTTTAATTTTTAATCGAGATTCACCTTTCACTGGTGGATCCATCTTATTTTTTCTACATTATTGGATCAGTTGAATATTTTTACATTTCAGCATCCAGGAAGTGGTATTGATGTGCGTCGACGTAAAATTTGGGATCTGTATGGTGGAGACACCTCACTCCAGGTTTTTTATTTAAAGTCACTTCAATCAGTGAAAAGTTCTGTTTGACGAGTGCTTAGGCGTGAAACTCAGAGTCACAGAGAATCGATGTGTACTCTTTAATTCTTTAACTTGTGTATACTTAGCTCTGCTACCACAGCATTGAGCACTTCATGCCAAGGTAGACTCTACCCCCACATTCATCTATATATATATATATCTACATAGTACAGGTAAAGTGGGGAGTCAGTGATTCTTTTAGATGGTGGAAGGTTCTTTTGTAATTTACAATGGGGGAGTTGGCATAGTTAACAGTAAGAATGAACATGACAATAGGAACTGACTAGATTTTATCCTGCATAAGAAAAAACAAATGCATGGAGTGGACCAACAAAGATTATAATTTTTGGACTGTGGGAACCAAAATTCCGTTTTCCAGAGAAACCAAATAACTCACTCTACTTTCTCGAATTAAAGGTTTAATCTTCACAAAATGTTGTACACAACTCAAAATCTCCCCTCTCTCAAAACGTCACCGATGTGTATTTTCCACGAGGTACTTAATTTGAACCGAGGCTCACAATTTCAAAACGAGGTTGTCAGTCACGCAACCCCCCAAAAAAAACAGTCACGACACCCTCCCCCCATTTAAGTGTTAATCAGCTTAAATGTTCTTAAACTTCTTGTGAAACAATGTCCTTGATTCTCTCGTTTGCAATCTCCTTGGATCTTCTACTTGGTCTCAATCTTGGTCTGAACACTTCTGCTTCTGGGTTTGGCTGGCAGTCAGGATCCTCTCCTCCAATTTCTAGTTTACATATGAGTTGCAAGGGGTGCTCCACAATGTAACCATTCCCTTGCTTAAGCTTCAATCCTCAGACTGTTCCATCCTTGCCTGTGACCTTTCCTACCACTCATGCAAGCTTCCACAGTGTTCTATTCTTGGTTTCATCTTTAAGCAACACCAGCGCTCCTGTGTTTGGGATTTCAGCAATGTTACTGGTGGGCAGTTGCTGTCTTTCTTCAAGGGCGTGCACATACTCCTTCACGAATCTCTTTTAAACATGTTCTTTGTTTTTCTGCAGAAACCTCATTTGTCTGGTTACTTCTTCCTCTCCAATCTTCTCAAGATCCTCCTCTAAGATGGGGTTTGGCCTCCCTCTGAGTGACATGTTTGGGGTGAACACTGGTTGCTCAAATTCCTCTCCCTGATAAAACAATGGCCTGCTGTTCATGCAGATTTCAATGTCTAACAGGACTTCTTGCAACTCTTCATAGCTGAGTAGACTTCAGCCAATCACTTAAGACATACACCTTTTCATAATGCCAATTAGGCACTCAAAGAAGCCTCCCCACCAAGGGGACATCCTCGTCTAGCAGTAAATTCCTTTAAGGCTCTCTGAAATTATGTGGTGGACAGATTGTGACATAGCTTCAAATGGACTGCTCTGATGCTAGCACAAGTGAACAGTGCGATGTATGCCTTTGCTGTACTTGACTTTGTAATCTTATAGTACAGTGGTCCTGCAAAATCTACCCACGTCATGACAAAAGTGTCTGATAGTTGGGTTCTGAAAAGTGGCAATCTACACTCCAAGATAGGTAAAGTGGACAATGGCTTCCACCAATAGCATTTGCAAACTGTACAGTCTTGTATCACCTTCTTAGTCAGCACTCTTAACTTGGGTACCCAAAACTTCTCTCGCATGCGACATAAGGTTATTGAGACTCCCCTGTGAATCATCTGCTCACGGAGTTGTTTCACAATAAGGAAGGCTAGCTTGCAACTTCAGGGAAGAAAGATTGGGTTGTAATCCTTCACTCTTCCAAAACATCTTAATATTCCATCCTCATCCTTCTTCAGTGCAACATCTGACTTGACATCCTGAGATGCCTGGGCCTGGTGAAGCCAGTACTTCTCTGCTGCTTGTGTTTCTTCTGTTGTCAATGGTCCCTTCTCTTTCTCTTTCTTCTTGCAGTTGCCAATAAATCATCTCACAATGGCAGTTATCCTCAGAAGCTTCTGATAAGATGCATACTTGTTAAGAAGCTGATCCACAATTGGATTTTTCTTTTCTTCTTTGGCAAGAAGCTGTTTCTCGAACTTAGGCTTCACACTCTCTTTTGCTGTTTCTACGGTTTCTGACACCTCAGGTTGCTGTGGCCATTTTCCCAGACAACTTAGCCAGTCTGGTCCTTTAAACCAAAGCTCTCCCATTTTACAGGGCTCTGTGCTTCTACTTCCGTGGTCTCTGGGATTGTCTTTTGTTGGGACATGGTGCCACTTCAGGTATTGCTTGTCTTGTATCACTTCAGTACGGTTTCGAACAAACTGACCACATCCCATGACCTTTAATCCAGTACAGCACTGCAGTACTATCGACCCAGCAGTGATACTCTTCAACTAGCTGACCTTCCATTACTTCCTTCACATGATTCATCAATTTGCTCAAGGTGTGTGCTGCAATAAGCTCCAACTGTGGGATTGACAGGTGTTTTGGTGCTATTCTTGACTTCGCAACAAGCAGGCTCTGGTGAACTGGAGCAACATGATGAAATACAAGTGCATAAATGGCTGCTGAAACTGCTAGCTTTCTTGCATCAGCAAAACCATGAAGGCCAATTCTTCTCACATCTTTACTCACAACACTGTGTGGAACACTTATTGACGGACACTTCTCCATTCCCTTCAGCCAGTTGTTCCAAGATCTTTGTATATCGTCTGGTACCACTTGGTCCCACCTTAGCTTCCTTAAGCAAACCTCACTGTACCGGATCTTTCCCATGATGGTCACTGGTGCTGCAAGTCCCAACAAGTCATAAACACCATTTATGGCTGATAACATCTTTCTCTTGGTAAGGGGACCATCACTCATTGTTCCCAATGGCTTTATGAAATCAACTGAAATTGTGTCTTCTACCTTGTTTCAAGGTACTCCAAGTATCTTTGTTTCTTGGGAATGGGTTCCAACCACTAACTTTGCGTAAGTTGAGCTTGCTTGTGATAGTAGGGTTTCATCATCAATTCGCTGTGGTTCTTCTAATTCTAGAATGTTGCTGTGCCACTTGTGCAGGTGAAACCCTCCTTCTTCCATTATTCACATGGCCTCCTCTTTGAAACTGATCAGCTCTTCCACACAATCACCACCTGATTGAACATCATCCACATGTGTTTTTTAGCAACTCATCAGCAGTACTGAGGTACTTATCAGCATACTGGCTCACATGTTTTTGAATTGTGGCCCCAAGAATATATGGGCTTGGTCCTGACCCAAAAATCACTCTGGTGAAATAATACTGCCTCACTGTTCTTGAGTCGAGGTTCTCATATCAGAGAAGGTGAAGGGCATCTCTATCTCTTGGGTCCACTCTTGGGTGAATATCTCCGGTGATACACAACATCTTCAGACGATTTCGAAGAAGGATGTCAAATAACATGGGATGTAAAGGGGGTCCTACTTCCAAACAGTTGTTCAAGGAAAGTACTTGACAATGTGTCTATGCTGAACAATCATAAACTATCCTCATCTTTGTGGACTCGGCCTGGTCTCAGATCACTAGTTGATGAGGAATATAAAGGATGACCTCCCCCATAGGTGTTTTGGGCACCTCTTCCAAGATTCCTTCTGCTAATTGCTCTGTTGTAACCATATGGTACTCTTTAAGTTGCTGCATCCTCTCTAGTTTCTGTGTTGTACTTCTTAGCCTTCCAATAGTCAGTTGTTTGTTTGAAGGCAGAGGGGGTGATCTGGTTTCCATGGCAACCATGATGAATATGTTCCATCATCCAAATGTTGTAAGTGATCTTTGAAATCTTCATGGAACAACTGCTGCACGTCAGCTTTATCAGTCGGTCCTAGGACCTCCTGCGAACACATCTGCTCAAATTCATGTTGGCTTGAATTTAGGAAGAAATCCTTTTCAGTCTCCGTACTCAACGACGTTAACTTTCCCATGATCACCCAACCCAGCATGGTGTGCTCTGCACCAGGATCAATGTCTGGATCTACTCCTAGGACAGCTGGTTCAGTTGTTTTGATATCTGCAGCACCAAGGATCACATGGACTGGCAAGTTATCTTCCATCACCATTTCTTCACTGAAGTGTAGTCTCTTTATGCAGTAGTTGGCCTTCTTTAACTCCTATATTCTTGGGTTAGGGAGGTGAGTTAACACTGGTTTCTCTGCATTTATGCAACATAGCTCAAGCTCAAAGCCCTCGATGGCATTTGATTCAACGCGGACCTTGTATATCTCAACAAGTTTGTCCACTGTCCCATACATTTGTTCTATGACCCTCCTTTCAGTTTGGTATGGCTTCAGGTTCAGTTCTGTGAGCAAACTTGAGCTGATGTAGGAGCTTCCAGCTCCACTGTCCAACATGATTCGAGCTTGTACTCCTCCAACTTTAGCAATTACAGTTGCATGCAAGGTACACATGTTTTGAGAATCCATTGCACCATAAAACCTGTCAGACCGACCCAATGACTCAGGGGTACCCTTGTGGGTGGGCAGGAGTGTCATCTTCATCTTGTCACATACAGAGGTATGGTGTCTTCCATTACATACCACACCCTCGTCCTTTACATTTGGAAGCCAGATGCCCAGACCTTGTGCAGTTATAACATAACTTGTTTCTTGTTAAATATTCCCATCTACTGGCAATGTCTAAAACCTTAGTAAAGTCACTGCTACGATGACTGTTTAAACCACAGTAAACACAGGGAGGGGGACTTTGCAGCTGCCGTATATTTCTTCCAGCCATTAAGTTTTTCTCTGGTTTCTTTTGGCGATTGTCTCAATTCCCAGGTACAGTGGAGCTTGGAGATTGCAGGCTAGATTCCACCAAGGGCAGGGGGTTTCAGTCTGTGTACTTCCTCAAATTTTCAACTAGCTCCTCAAGTCCCCATTTCTCCCAGTCATAATCTTTTTGGGCCATAGCCTCCCTTATCGGACCCAATTTGTCTATTATGTTGTACACATAACTCTGGGCACCCTCTAGTTTCTTCATCGTCGCTAAGGTTCAGACTGTCTTAGACAACTTAGTGTAAAAGTTGTGAATCTCTTTGATTTTGTGGGAACTGGTTATGTTTGGCAAGCTTTCTAAGTCCCTAATTAAGGCCTTATAAACCTTAATGTCTTTTCCAAAGGTCATTTCAAGGATTTTCTTAGCTTCATGATATCCTTCAGGTGTGTGGGGCAGCCCAAGAATGTGCTCTTTTGGTTCTCCCTCAACTAGTTCTAACAAGTAATTGAATTTACTTATCTCAGAGATGTTTGTGCTTTCCACTTCCACAACAAACTGGTTCCAAAACTGAAGCCAGACTTTACAGTCTCCCTTGAAAGCTGTTTTCATATATTTCTACAGTTTAACCACTTGAGGTTTGCTTATCTTTTGCATAGCTTTTCTCTTTGAGTGCCATTTCCAACTCAAACTTCTTATGAAACCAGTCTTCTTCTCACTTGTGTATTTCTTTTTTCTCTAAATTATCCAATGCATGCTTGAGCTTATTCCTTAGCTTGTGCACTGGTATTAACTCTTCTTTACAAACGTGTGCCCAAACTTTCACCTCTTAAAGACTCATTTCTGCATCCAACATTGCATCCTTCACATGGTCCACCGAATCCTCAAGGCTTTTACAAATCCCGCAAATTTTCTCGTAAGCCAACAGCAAATCTCCTTTTACCTCCATAATCATGTTTTCTTTTATCTCCTGGACATAGTAGGTCGCCTTTTTCCACTCCTTAGCGTAGTTCTTCTCAGCTTCAGCTTTATCCACCATATTTGTAGAATTTCTCACTAGATTTGTCGATAGCTTTGTTATTCAATTCCCTCAAGATTCTTGCACTCTTGCTCACATGTATTGCTGTCCTGACAGGGCCGCCACTTTTGGTGTGGGAACCAAAATTCCATTTTCCAGAGACACCAGATAACTCACTTTAGTTTCTCAAATTAAAGATTTAATCTTCACAAAATGTTGTATATAACTCAAAATCTCTCCTCTCTCAAAACGTCACCAATGCGTATTTTCCATGAGGTATGTAATTTGAACCTAGGCTCACAATTTCAAAACGAGGTTGTCAGTCATGCAACTCCCAAAAAAAAAACAGTCACAACAGGACCATGTCGACGACAGAATCGCAAAAAGCAGCAGAATGCAGTTAAAACAAAAGAAAACATGTACAACTCTCGTGGGTTTATTGTGCTCCATAGTTGGCTTCCTTTGCTGGCTCTCAAAGTAAGCCAGTCATTCTTGACTCTTGGTAAGGAACAATATCTTTTGTATACTATATTCAGCCATCTTCACCACACACTTGATTGATAATGCTTATATCACCTCTCACAGCTGATCGATAATGCATATGTCACTTCTGAACTAACCAATCAATGAGCAGGAAAAAGCACTAGTCACTTTGGCTCAGTTGTTTGAAGGATGGACAATGCTATCCAATGGATAGATTGCTTTCTAGCAAATAAGTATTAACTAAATGTATTGTGCTGTCCACCGGATAGAGATTCATCAAGTGGATCAGGTTATTCACCTTTTGAATAACTGGGGCCTTCATGATATGTACTAATCAGCAGCCTTTGTGTCGCACTTAGTACGGCTTTTATATCCTCAGGGCCAGTTGTTTACAAAAGGTGGAACCCAAATTATTGTCTTATGTAATGATTGGGCCTCAGGTTTTCTCTCTAGGAGGGTTGCTTTGATTAAATAAATGTCCCTCCACTGATAGCTTTTGGCCCTCTTGACACTGTTCAGAAGGTTCAGCTAAATTAAGGATAGTTTAGGACGTGGTTTTCTTAAACAAGGGCTGACCTCTGCTTAAATAACTAGCCCATAGTCTTTTTAATTAATATTATCATATTTTTTTGATTAATGAAATTTCTGGATTGGATGTAATCCAATCTGTAATCTTAGCCTCTGACCAGCAATGTTCCATTTACAGGAAAAGGCAGTGAATCCTACTTTACCTGGTCTGTTTCCAGATGTCGACTGGCTCATTGGCAATCATTCTGATGAACTCACTCCCTGGATACCTGTAATGGCTGCTAGGTGGGTTTATCTTGTGATGATCAGAAAGGATTTGATGTTCAGTACATTTCACTTTTGAGGCTTTGACAAATAGTTCTAAGTATTATCATTTGTTTCTTCATTGTCAATGCAATAGTAACATAATAATAAGGTGAAGGGGCTAACCCAGAAGCCGTGTGGTTCCCCTATCGTCTGGACTCCAACAATGATTACCTTTGCTTCTTTAAATTCCGCCTGTTAATTATAAATAATTTTCTTACTTCAGTGCAATTCCATTTTTAAGACTTTCGTTTAATACTTAAAGGCATTCAGCATTTCAGGTAATTTTTGTTTGTCTTCCCACAACATATCTATTGAGATATTTCTGCATGGAAAATTATTTTGAAATGCTTATCATCTTTTGTTGTACCAGGGCAAGAACTGAAAAGATTGTCCTTGTAAAATGCTCTCATTAAAGAAAAAGAATTTTTCCCTCAGGCTTTATGATGGGCCCATCACACCAATTAACCCTTTAACTCCCATGAGTGCATGACAAAGACAGAATTTCTCCATACAACATCAATACAATATCAACAATATAAGTGATGAGAATAAAGAAAAAATCTCAATTTGGGGTTAATTAGTTGATCCAATACTAAATTCCCAGAGCTAACATTATAAGTATTGTATGGTTGACAGTAAGGATAATTACAAATTTGATCTGGGAGCTAAAGGGTTTAGATATTTCTGTTAAGAAAACTTTTGTTTTTAATGGCATGCAATCCTGAAATGATTGTAAGATGTTTATCGTCTTGTGCTGCCTTCAGTAGTATCACAGCATGAACTGGAAACATAATGGGCTAGTGGCTGTAAACCAGAAACAACCAAAAGGGAGAACTCAACTGTGTATCAAGTGTGAATGCTGAAGATCAAAGATTACTTTGAAACAAACACTAAGTAGCATTGGGTCCAGACAGGGTTAAACTCACTCACTCACTCACTTGCCTCAATGAAAAATGTGGCTTCAACTCCTACAGGTGACAGTAGCAACAAAAAAGTATGCGCACTTTTTTTATTGGAATCCTATTGAGCCATCATGGTATAAATCTCCATCTATGCCCAGTAGAGTGTATATAGCATGATGTGGGCATTTTGCCAAGTTCCAGTCCAGTGCAGCTGCAACTTATAAAACTTTTAAGATGGTTTTACCATTCTGTCCTGATTTACATAGACTTTTAGAGCTTTAAATGATTTCAGCTTGAATATTATTTTGTATTTTTGTATCTTGTGTTTTGCATACCACAAAATTGAAAAAGCAGTATTTTTTGTACACAAGCTGGTTCATGCTTTTTTCTGTGTTAAAGAAGTAAGACTTATCTTAGGCTGCTTTCTGGAACTCTTACGCTTCTCTCATGCTTTCCAAATTTTCAGTGTGGGTTCATACCTTGATATACCCACACCAAACATTGTGTCTTGTCAACACTGTCATCACACTCACAGTCCATGACGTTAATAATCTTAGTTATACCCAATACTAGTGCCATCCCACCTTTCGACCTTGAGGACCAGAGACACAGACCATCATTTGACACATCAAAGCCATACTTAATACTATTTCACATGTTCATCAGACATCAGGCCCTATCTGATCTTAATATTTTGGTATTTTGTAAAATAAAATATTTCTTTGTCACTTGATAGGTCATCAACCATGGCTCGATATTTCCTTCTACCATGTTGCTTGTTTGACTTTAACTGTAAGGTGAGTAATTATACATCCTGTACCGACTTAAGTTATGCAATTATGTGGTTACTAAGATTGTTTGTGCTTCATTCTGTCATGATAGTCATTAAACTCGATTTAACCTTTCAAACCAGTATTGCTACTTTTGCAAAAGTGTACAGGGGCTTCTTTTTTTTTTTTTTTTTTCTTACATGCTTTCTAATTGACAGGTGTCAGATCATGTGAGATACCTACAAACAAAATGTTTTGAAATTTGCTTGGAAGCCTTTTAAATCACCCTTATCATTACACAAATAAAAATGTTTTGGTAAAGCCTCCCTTTCTAATTCGGATTTCCTCTGTTTTTTTCTACCATCTTTATCAGGGAGTTTTATCGTGATACTCAATCATAAGTCTTCCTTTGAACAGAATTGCAAATTTGCATGCGTAAAATTGTAATTTTTAAGGCAAGGGCAGGACATTTGTCACTTTTTACCAATACAGTTCACGCCTGTCACTCATTTTTTTCTACTGTGCCAGCTACAAGTATAAACTTTCTTATCGGTTTATTTTTACCAGTTTAACAGGAAAAATAGCAAAGTGACGCAGTATCGAGATTACCTGGATTTTGTGTACAATGTGGGAGAAACATGTGGCTTTCAGGTAGAAGAAGATTCATTGAGGATTCCTTCTACCAAAAGGGTAATAATTTAAGTTACATAATTATATGTTGAAATTATCCTTTAAGGGTGTGATTAGGCAGATCAGCTTCTAAGCTGCTGAGGAATAAGTCAAACCATGCACCTAAACCGTTTTGTACCAAATCTCAGGGGGTAGCAACATGGTTGAGATTCTTTGTTTTTTGTGACATATAATGCATCATGCCTCGCTCTTGATGAATTAGCATTAAGGTATTTGATAAGTGATTTATGTGAAGGTGACATGTCTGCGAGAATCATAAAAAGCTCAATTTTTTCACCTCAAGGCTAGGGAGGATTGTGTTACTTTCACAATTCTACATACTTAGGTAAGTAAATAGCTAAGTGGTGCCTTCTAAGTACTGTTATGATAAAAATATCCTTTTTGGGCTCAAGAAGAAAGAAGGTATGCTGAAGCTGAGATTATTTCTATTTTAACTCAAGGGTTATTAAGTCTGAAGTACTTGAAAATGATGTTTCAACGTCATGAATTGAGCTCATAGGAGCTGTAGTAACCTTTAGGATTTTGAATGTATTTAAATTTACCTGAAGTAAATTTGTGGCATCTCAAATGGGAACCAAAAGTAACTCTGAAAAATTTTTAAGTCCCTTGATTGAAATGAAGCTTTTTAAACCCAGTTCAATGATCCTACCACTCAGTAAGTAACATTCTTTAGTTTTAATTTCTTTAACTGATTCAACATTAGTTTTGTTATTACCAATCATTATTTTGTTTCTCCAAGAAGTCCAAATTTATGGCATGCATCTGCCTTTACTTCATACTTAACTTTTCACTTGTTTTTTTATTGGACTGAAAGAGTGCATTTCCTTCTGCTTAATTACAAAATATATAACTCCCAACCACACTTATAACAAATTGAAATTAAAAATGACAAAAAATATTGCAGAATGGCAAAAAATAAAGCCACTTGGCTTTGTGAGCAGGCAAAACAGAGAACATGGAAAAGACAGGGAGAATCAATAAAATCAAAAATTAGATACAAAAGATACAAAATATGGGAACTTTCTATCAAAACAAATGTGTTGATGTACAATAATGAGTGGTTTAAGATACAATCGACCAAGAGAGGATCATATGATCCTGACTAAGTGGAACCTAGTCCCAACTCTGTACTTAACATATCACCCCTAAGAATTAATCCAACAAAGCCATGATCTCAATTGAGTTGGGTATGTTTGTACCAAGCTGAGAGTGTTCATTACTAATGTTTTGAGGAAATCAACAGCTCTTTTAACCCATTTTGTCTTACTCCTACATCAAGATGGAGAAACATATACTCTTAAATTTCAGGCTATTACTTTCAAGCTGTATCAGCAATAGCCTCTATTTGGCACCAAAAATTTGTAGGGATATTCTTCCACAAACATTATCTGTTTCAAGATGCACACAGTTTCCCGAGAGTGAAGCTCGAGGAAAACTGTGAGCCTTGAGGAACAGATAATAAATATCTGGTCATATTTTCAAGCAAAATAGAGGCTATTAAGTTTATTTGCTTTCAAGTATTTTGCAATGTACATAAAATGTTTACAAACAGCCTACTGTATGCAGCATGGAATGTTTTCTTTTGAGTGTTTTCTGGTACGACTTAATGAACAAAGAAGATTTTCCTTCTTCAGTAACAACCAAAAAACCCTCTCTCATCTTGAATTAAATTTCAAATGAAGGCTTAGAGGACATAAAGGTTTGAAAATTGGGCAATACTGCTTGGATATCACCCAGTTAAAGCTAGGGGATATTCATTTTCATGCTGTGTTTGGACCAATTGTGCACAAGCAAAAATATTTGATGGATCACAAAAAGTCAAATCTGGTGAGGCACAGTGTTTCGGCGTACCCAACAGTGTCATTTATTTTGTTGGACCATTGATCAGTTTGGGAACCATCAACCCTTCAGCTCATTGGTACTCTTCATGTTGGGTTTGTTTGTGCTTCTCATGAATTCTTTCATCTATGTTTAAGGTTTGATTTGTATTTGTTATGCATAGGTTAACTTTCTGCCCACCTTATGATTTTAAGCTATTTGCTCACTTTGCCCTCTTATTAAATGACCTCAAGGCCATACACAGCAATGAGGATGGGGGTGACACCATTCCTTTTCAAACAAAGAAACTGGTGGATAGAAAGCCTTCTTTCTTCTGATTATGGTTCCCACAAAGCCTCTTGATCCAAAAAGATCTCTTGAGATGATTGTTCAATATTTTTCTTTCCTAGGGAATTTATCCAAGTACCAGCTAAAACTTCTTTCATTTCTTTCAAATTGTAATTCCAAGACATACCATGGCATAGGCTTAAATTGTAAACCAGAGTCCAATGGAAAATTGCGGCAGAAAAACCTTGAAAATCTAAGGCTAGAGACTCCTACATTATCCTTTTTCAGGGCTAAAAATTAACTCCAGTGCTTGGTGGCCAGCCGGGCGAGTTTCCTTGAATTCTTAGTGGCCCATCCCAAAATGAAGAAGCCCTCGATTTCCTCTATTTTAAAATGAAAAACTTGATTAGATGCCACATGGCTTTTAACAGAGCATTAACTAAAAGGAAAGAACACATTACACACAGAACTCTGGCTAAGTCCAGAGTCACGTGGCAATCACAAACTCAAAATGGCGTCTATACGTTGTGAATGTGGATCGCTCGTGAAATCACTGTTAAAACGACTCAGAATTTCCCCTTCAGAACTAAAAATTTACTAAAATGGATGATCTTAGAGTCCAAGCAAAGAAACGAAGAGAAGGGTAGTCCAATTAAACTACATATTGAGTTTTATTTTTAACTTTGTACTTCACATAATTTACATTGCAACTTTTCCAAATTCTGCAGCCTAGTCGCACATCAGGCATTCAAACCTTAACTTTTGGTGGCCCTGGTCAGTTTTAACTTGCCACTGGCAGCCATACGACCACCAATGTTTGGCCTTGCTGTTTGCTCCAAAGCATTAGCTGTTTCAAACTCCTATTAGGACTGTGGCTGTATTCAATGCAATGTGATATTATGAGATAAACTTTATATGTACTATGTATAAAGTAGAATTTCAATAAAACTGAGTAAATGGTGATAAATGTGAATATTACTAATTTCCAAAAATAAAGGTAATTTAAGTAAAATGAAAAAAAGAATTGAAGCATCCCATCTTGAAAAGCACGCCTTTAATGTTAAATGATGCTAAAATATGAACTAAAGAAATGATCAGATAAATGAGGAAATGTGCAGGAAAGCATTTACTGAAGCACACAAAACAGGGAAGGAGTCCATTTACTTAAATACTCTCAAATATCAAAATAAAATTCTTTCTATTTACAATAGTAGAACTGGTACCTTGTACCATTACTTACAAATCACAGATACAAACAATGAAGTTAAATATGTTTAAGGTAACAAAATTTTTATTTCCTGTCTTTACCTTGTTTTACAATTAGATCTGTCATATTGGACGACCAAGAACATTCACTGAGAACAATGATGACCTACAAATCATATCAATTAAGGATATGATACAAGAGAGAGGTTGCAATCTTGATGATGAACAGCCCCCTGAAACTTTAAGGAATATTCCCTCCCAAAATCACATAACACCTAATCAACATGAAGATAGAGGGGCTGTTGACATCCAACGACAGCACCATGAGCATCATGCTACTGATGCCTTGCTGTGTAGAGGGAGAGGAAACACCAGCATTCAAACTTTTGCCACCAAGTCTTACTCAACCTTTTCTAAACAAGCACCTTCCAGTTTTCAGCCTCGTGCTCAGAAGGAGGCAATACGAAACTGTACAACTTTAGAAAGATCTCTCAAAGAACATTTTGTCAATGGTGTAGCAAGGTATTTGTTGGGTTTACCTCTTTCAAGTGATGACTTTTTGAGCCCTTCAAGCTCAATTTCAGAGGTTGAAAAAGGTGGTAAATGGCGAAAAGGAGGTAAGGAATACTCATTAGCTAATCATATCAATACTAGCAAATAATTTTGCGAAGTTCTTTCTGTGTAACATTGAAATGTGAGCAGTAGTCCACACACTCTCCAAATGATTGTTGTCATCTTGTTGAGGGTGCAAATCACAGTTTTTTGTCTCATTTGAAGGGCTTAAAAAAAGGCAAGTTATTTTGTAATGTGAAGTTCTTGGGACTCGTGCCTCAATGCTCTTCTTTGAAGCCATGGTTTCTGTATCTAGTCTCAAAGTCCTTTTCTGTAAGTCGAATGTATGTTTCAGAGGTGCTGTTGTCCTTACGTGTGATGGTGGCTTGGTAGATTAAAGATGAAAGATTTTTCTTGTCTATTAGGGCAAGCGCTTTCCAAAAGACTACAAACTTAGAAAATCTTTAATCGTAACACAGTCAAGATCAGTTACAGCTGCAGGAGTAACCCTAAACAGATCATCGACAACCACAGCAAACACATTTTAAATTCATCCAAACACATCAATGACACTGCAAACTCAAAGCTGCAACCTCATGGTTACATTAAAAAGTATTTAAACTGTGGAATGGTACTTGATGTCCATATTTGCAGTCACAAAACAAGAACAGAGCTAAACAATAAAGCAGTGCTTTGTGATTTGATCAAGGCAATGGACATATTTTTGGAATGTGAACAATAACAGCAGAGTATGCTGTCTTGTTTAGGCTCAAAATACCTTAAATCTCCAGTCAATCATGAGAATTGAAAAAAAATATATGTATCTATATATTTGAAATGTTAGTTATATTCAGCACTTTATGACTGCTTATTTATAGCCATGAAAGTCAGACAGAACCATGAAAAAGCAGGTCCGATGGTATATATACCATCTCACTAACAAATGGCTAAAATAACCACACAATTTGTCCATTCCTGGGGTACAATGGTACGACTTAGAGTCAAATGTTTGATGCATACATCCGGAAGAGTTTACTACCAAATGTCACTTTTCCTAAAGTGTTGTTTTGTAACTAGTGTTTTTGAAATATGCAACAAAGCCTTTCTGGAATTTCCGAGTTTACTGTATTGTTCACTATGTTGTTCATTGTAAAGTTGTTTGAAACAAGAAATTATGAGAGGCCATTGGTTCATGATCTATGCAGTCCTCGAAAACTGGTCTTGACCACAGTTAAATGGTCCTCCCCTTTTTTATTTTTCACCGTCATTAATTTGATAACTTGATTGATATATATCTGACCAAATGGGCACTTGAAGCAAACAATTGTGCAAAGGTGAAACAGACTCAAAATTTTAAAAGCAACTATTATACTCTGCTTTTAAAAAAATTCCTCTTCAATTTATTATCAACACCTTTTCAATGAGAAAAGACGTTATATTAAATATTTTTAAATTGCAACATTTTTGGAAATGGGTGTAGACATACAATCATACACCATTTTAAAAAGATTTCAATTGAAAAAAAATATATATCTTATTACCTTTCCTCATCAAATCATATCATATTTTAAAATTTCAACGTTTTTTTAAAATGGGTGTAACTTTGAAATGTAATGAATTCTGTTTTTACAACCTTGAATTCTGCAGTTGGAGGTGAATTCAATGCATTTGATGGAGTAAACTTCAGACACTATAAAGAAAAAACACTAATTTCAAATTATGTTTCTTCTTAGGGCTCTTTAGACAAATGTTAGTCAAAAACAAGACAAATCTTTTGCTAGTTAATGTCCAAGAGGTCCAACTGTTAGACAATAGTATACCATTTACAGTAGTTCCAAGTTATTGTTATGTGATTACTCCATGCCACCATTTTGATGTCAGTATATGAAGCAAATCCCATGTTCTAATTGGCTACTGAAGCAAAAAGGACCCATCTTGCCTGCTCAAGATTGCATACTTTTATCCAGCACAGGAAAAAATTACATTTTGGATGGACAAGATCCATATTTTTTTTCAAGTATGTGGGCAAAGGAGTGGCCAAAATGGGCAGAAGACAGCCAAAACAAAAGAAACACGAACAACTCTCCTTGCTATATTGTGCTCTTTCCCAGCTCTCCAAAGAAACAGTCATTCTTGACGCTGAACAAGGCAAAACCTCTCTGCTTTACAATAAATCCTTTATGGACCAAGTCTATTTGATGGCTAGATATTAGCCTTGTCTTTTTTTGTTTTTTAAGGACCAAGGTGAAGTCAAGGTCCATTAAAAGGGAGTAAACAAACTCTGTAAATATCCAGGCTTCTTGAACTCATGCTTGATCAATAGCACATATGTACTAAGGGGTCGACCTGTGTAAAGCATTCACCCTGCCATTCCCTGTTGGTACCGTTAAATACAGGTTGGACTTATTATTATCTACTATTAGATTGTTCTGGTATCTTGCAGGTTATCTCAAGGTTTGTTAACTACAAGGTTCTTGTACTCAGCAATTGACTTCCATTCTTCTGTCAGGTACTATGCAAATTTGGGAAGCAGCTCAGTTGTTTGATAAAGACACTTTGGTTCAACTTAAGCATGAATGTGGAGGTCTTCAGACCTTGTTACGGAATCACTATCATATTTTCAAAGGTTTGCACTAGCTAGTTGTGGTTACCGTAGTACTTGTAGTAGGGGTACTAGTAATTGTAGTAATTGTCTTATATTAGTAGTTGCTGGTACTGCAATAATTGTTGTTGCTGTGTTTTCCCTTTTTTTGTTCTGTCCGCATAGAATTTAGTTGTAACTCCAAAATTTAAAGGGTCTCTCTCATCTTTGTTAGTCAAGAAATTATGATTTCACAGTAGAAGCTTTGTAAAAAATCTTGACATAGTGGTAACTCAAAATTGTCTTATTTAGTTACTGGTGGTTTAGTTGAACTGAGGGATTGGAGTCAGGAATCCTCATGCCATGGTGCAAAGAAGGCTAATTTTGGAAAGAAGCAGCGAAGATCTCAGGCATTAAGGAAAACTTCATTGTGCTGGTTTTACTTACATCATCCTGATGGTTGTCCAGTGACAGCAGAGAAGTGTCATTATGCACACACAACAGATGACCTTAGAGAACGACCCTCAGTGGAAGTCCTAAACAGTTTGTAAGAGTATTTAAATCATTAAAGAAGATTTTTGTTACTTCCTAAATGAAAACAGGAAGTGATTGAGAAGAGACATTCCTGTGAGATTCAGAAAAAGCGTGAAAAACTGATTAATCAAAGACTTCAAGGAGTTAAAACCACAAACTAATTACCACTGCTGTTTGCAATTAAGCTTTCTGACACCTGATTTGAATTTCCTTTGCAACACGGTAACATTCCACCAATTCCCTAAATGTTCCAGTGTGATTGGTTTTCCAAGTTTCACAGTACAAGTCAGTAAAGGCACATAAATTTGGGGGTTATTATTTCAAAGTGAAGGATAGAGTCAAGGCCAAGAGAGCTGCAATGCTTGGCAACTTGAAAGAAAAGTAATCCTATTGTCCTTGTATAATCAACTGCTATTACAAAGCAAATAGATGTGCAATGCATTCCAGCCTCTTTTGTGTCTAATTCCACCTCGCAAGTTTCAAACAATGAAAACAAACTGATAAAAAAAGGGAAATTGTTTTCCTCTTCACTTTACTGGTAGCACTGCTTTTCTTGTGCAAGCTCATGGGATAATATCAGTCTAGCTATTTAGTCCTGGAATGTTCTCTTTTAATGATGAACAAGTATTTGGACCATTTTATCTATTTACACCAGTTAGGTCCGGTTGAACCAGTTGGACTATTTTATCTGTTCGGATAATTTAAACCTGTTGAACCATATTTCAGCAGTTTGACCATTCTAACTAGTTTGACAATGTTAAAGGGTGAAATCGTTCCAATCATTAGGACCATTTTCTCATCTTAGACAATTTTAACTAGTTGGAGCATGATAACTGGTTTGACCATTTACTAGTTGGATCATTTTAGCCAGTTGGACCATTTTCTCTAATTAGACCATTTTTACTGGTGGGACTTACTTCGCTGGTTGAATCATGATCGCCAGTTAAATTCTTTTAACTGGTTGGACTATTTAAATTATTTGAACCATTCAGTTGGACCTAGTTAGCCTATTTCATCTGTTTGGACAATTTAAACCAATCAGACCAATTTAACCAATTGGAACATTTTATCTAGTTAAACCATTTTAAGCGAGTGGGCCATTTTATCTAGTTAGACCATTTTAAGCTGTTGGACCAATTTGATCCAGTGAAGTTGGACCATTTTGAACGATTAGACCACTATAACAATTTGAACCATTTTCTCTGGTAAGATCATTTCCTCTAGCTACACCACTTCAAGAAGGACCATTTTATTCTGTCTTTACCGGTTGCCCATTTTTTCTTGTTAGACCATTTCTACCAAGCAAAACATTTTACCTACTTAGATGATTCTCATCAGTTGGACCATTTTACCTAGTTAGATTACAAAATTGGTGGGACCATCTTATCTAATTATAGCCTGAACCATTGGATTATTTTAACTAGTTGGATTATTTTAACCAATTAGATCATTTTAACTGATTACACCGTTTTATCCAGTTAGACCATTTGAGAGTATCCACAAGAGGACCAGGCATGTTGTTAGGTTCAAAAAGGTTTTAAAAATCCAGAGTAGTTTGGCCTCGTGATTAATTCGTGAGTTAAAAGAGCTCTCGGATTATATCTCAGGGTTAAAAACCCAAAATTGCTTCAAAATTGCACTTCAACCAAATATATCTTTAACTCGCACGATGTGATTGGTTGTTATCTTCCTTGGCCCAAACGTTGTTAAAACCTTAACCAACCAAGGCCAGGTTGTTCAAAGCTGGGTTAAGATAACCTAAGGTTAGTCTAAAATCTGATTTTAAATATGAAAGCTTCAAAAGAAAACTCACTGTAACTCTTTTTTGTTTACACTTTGATGATTGTATGCTCCGAAAAAAAAGTAGAGAAAGTTATCTCAAAAAGGGAGTTAGAAAATAGGAATAAAGAAACTTGGATGAAAATCTAACCCTGGGTTAGCGCTAATCGATCTCTTTCATTTTAGTAAATAATTTTCAAGTAAAATGTTGTTGGGAATACTGATTACACTGTCAAAAATTCCTGCGAATTTACGGATTTCATAAGAGATAAAACTCTTGACGCTTGTGAAGAATTAGTATCTTTCGACGTTGTTTCGCTCTTCACTAAAATCCCAGTTGATCTTGCCGTTAAGGTTGCGGAGGAAAGACTCAGAGAAGATGCTTCCCTAGGACAAAGAACTTCTTTGCCTGTGGAGGATATTATTCATCTGCTGTCTTTTTGCCTCAAAACCACGCAATTTACATATAACGGCACATACTATCAACAAGTTTTTGGTACAGCTATGGGTTCGCCTGTTTCTGCTGTCATTGCTAACATGGTAATGGAAGACGTGGAACAAAGGGCCTTAGCCACTTCACCGGTTAAACCCTTTTTCTGGAAACGATATGTCGATGATGTTATTTCTGCGGTATCCGGAAATGAAGCGGAGCGCCTCTTGTCGCATTTGAATTCAGTAGAGCCGTCGATCCAATTCACCCTTGAACGTGAAAAGGATAGACATTTGCCCTTTCTTGATTTATATGTGTCTAGAGGGGTTCAGGGTAATTTAGAGACAAGTGTCTACCGTAAACCCACCCACACCGACAAATACCTCGCTTTCGATTCTCACCATCCTATTAGCCATAAAAAGTCTGTAGCCAAAACTTTACTTAGGAGGGCTGATTGTCTACCATCATCACTCGATTCGAAGGCTGAGGAGAGGAAATATGTTTCCAATGTCCTAAAGGCAAATGGCTATACAAAAACTTTTCTCCGTAACTGCCAAAAACCAGTTACAAATAGTAACGCTTTTGATGAAAGGGAACCAGCGACTGGTTTTGCTGTTATTCCTTACATACAGGGTGTTACTGAACCCATCAAGAGAATTTTGAATAGCCACAACGTTAAAGTTGCTCAAAAACCTTTTCAGACTTTGGGGCATATTTTCGCCAAACCTAAGGATCCTGTCACGAAAGAACAACGAACCGACGCCATTTATTCTATTCCTTGCAATGACTGTGATAACGAATACATCGGACAGACCAAACGCCAGTTTGGTACACGGTTAAAAGAGCACCAAAAAGCGGTTTTTCTTTGCAAAAAGGAAAATTCAGCTTTATCGGAGCATACTTGCCTAACCAACCATACAATTGGGTGGGATAATTCTAAAATTATCACTACTAATCGGCGTTACCACCAGCGCCTTTGTTTGGAGGCTTGGCACATTAACTCCGCCCACGCTCCTTTAAATCGTGACGATGGCGGTCTGCTTCCTGACGCCTATTTACACCTCGTCAGAAAAAAGGCCGCTAATTAGTGATCATATAAAAGGACCTCTTGTTGCAGCGTTTAGATCACCCCTGATGAAGGCACTAGACAGGAGTGTCGAAACGTTGGGTCTCTGAATTGTAACTTCTTCGGTTACATTCATTAAATCTGCAAACCAGTGTAGCTTCAAACTATGTCTGATTGTCCACCTGGTTGCCGTGTGAACTTTAATATATTAAATTTTCAAGTACTTAGTCAAGTAGTTACATAATTACTTACATAAGGTAAGCTTCTTTACAAAGACTGGTGTCTGATTCCTGGTCAAAATTAACATTCTTTGCAGTGAGAAGAACAGCACTTGCGATCGCCATGTACTCTCCATACTTCAGACTCAATCCATCGGCAGTTCTTCCAAGTCCTCTCTTTACTATGAAGTTATTCAAATCTTTCAGAAGTTGTCCTTCATCAAGAGGAAGGAGACTTGACAATGATTTACATGAGAGCTGAAGAAATATGTCCACGATAGCTTCATAAGTCTTTGTGGAGAACGAGGTCTTTTATCTCTTGAAGAACTTCTCAATGTTGTGTGTAAAATAGAACTAATGCAGCGGTGTTCTCTTTGAATGGTTTTGCAATGCTTGTCATCTGCTGTGGTTACCCAAATGCTGATTCTTTTATGTCTTGCGCTGAACACTAACTTCACACGTTCATTCTTCCTCTGCTTCACATCTTTCCAGCAGTGCAGTCATCGAGAATGATCAGTGTATTAGTTATAATTATAGGTATAATTAATGTTGATGAGACTATTCGATCTGACCTTGAGGTGGAGCCGAGATAAGCAAGTCATTATTATTCCTCCGAAACCATCATACGTAACTTACATGGCTCTTTTCTGGACACGCTCAAGGTCCTCACTAAGATATTCGGGAAGGCTGTGGTGGAAAAGGACAGTATTCTAATACTGGTCTTATTACTGGTGTGAGGATAGGTTTTCGCGCACTCTAACTGAACTTCAGGGGAAATTAACTCGGTAGAGACCACTCGGCTAACGAGAACGGAAACTCGTCACGATTTCCTGTCACACGGAGATCTACTTCGAGCGTGCTTGTACAGACGTCAAGGAAGAGACAACGTTTTGGTTCCACAGCAGACTTTTATTCATAGAGCACTCTAACATACATCATGCTCGAGTCAGATCTAAACGTGTAATCATCAAAGCTGTACAAGGTACTGGCTTGAGAACTAACTGGTGTGGGGTGCTATTGTTACACAAACCACAATATTTGAATAAGGACACAAAGGAGCGGAAAAAAGTCTGAAGTTGGGCGAAAACTAAAATATTCCATCTGATTCTACGACGAAAAGAATCTCAAAATTAAAAAGACGGACGCAATAAACTTGAGGCCATAAAAAATAGGAAACTTAGGTGCGAATTCACAGCTCTGGTACAGAAAAATATACCCATCTTAATTACAGTAGAGCAGCTTAGGAAATAAAAACGGAAAAGCAATTAAA